GTTTGACGCCAGATTTCATCCAAGTTCTGGAAGAAACATCCAGCTTCAGCACATATTTTATAACAATCAGTAAGTTTTGCCCCAAACCACACGCCCGTATTTGTGTCAAGAGTAAACTGATTATTAAAAGCTTCTTTTAGCAGATAATTTAATTTCTTAGCTGCTAGAAATGCTCTACATTCACAGATTTTCATCTGTCAGATTAATATTAAAAATTCCTGTATGCCAGTGTAGGAGTCTCAATGTTTTTCAGCTAGCTATCACTTAAGGTTCCTCTGTGCAAGCAAGAACTCCACCTCCTCCCTTAAAACTCAATGGTAAAAGACAATTAAGAAAAGAAAGATGTTTTTAAAATCACAAAGATATTTTGAGCTGTTCCAGCAGCTATGTTTTAGAGAATCATAAGCCACTTAATACTGGTTTTCCAAATAATACTGCTTTAACTTTCCAAGTACAGAACAAGCAATATAAAAGCAGGCCAGCTACTCTACTTTGTAAGCAACATCTACCTTTTCTCTCTTTACAGCAGACAGTTTTATTATTGGCAACAGAAAGTGCCAGTGTTACATTAACTTCTAAACCACGGAATCATAACAGCCCAGATATCTAAAGATTGCCTCTCTTGCTCAGCAACTCCAGACAACATAAGAATACAGATTAGTCCTATTAGTAGGAAAATTCTGATTGAAAAAGGACTTTGAGATGAAATCAAAATGCTTAAATATGCTACAGAAAAATAATTTACTCACATTCAATGTGCACAAGTGAAGTAATGTGCCCTAATCTACTTACTCCCAGGCACATTCCCCAAAGACATCCTGTAATTGAAATTACGTAATACTGTGGAACACTTTGATGACATTTCATTAGAATCAAAATTAATAGTAAAATGCATCTTCTCTACAAAGCAAGGTTGTCAGTTCTTGAGTCCAACCATCAACTAGAGGCAAATGTTTAAGAAACAAAGAACTACAGTAATTTCAATAATTTCCTATAGTTTTAAGTGAATTACATAGGCTTTTGACACACAGAGCACGTAATATGTTATTAACTACAATGTTTATAAAAGTTGCTGCTAACTACTATATGCCCTGCACAAGTCATTTAGGCTTATCTTCATCTCTGCCACTGTATTTTTTTAACACTATAAAAGTCTTACATGAAGTTCCAATGATTTCAAACTCAGGTCAGCAAATGCATCTCCAAGTTGCCTTTGGGTATGTACCATCTGGAAGAGCTGCGTGGACAGCGTCTGTGCCAGTCTCAAGATATGTTCATATTTTTTTTTGTTATCTCTCAATATATCAATTTGAGCTTCTAGTTCCAGATCTACTGTTCTTGAGCCACGGCCCAGTTTTTCAGAGATGATCTGACGTGTACACTGCAGAGAAAATATTAAATTATAAAGAATCAAGTATATTCAAGACAACACAGCATACACCCATTTTCAGCTTCAAGGGACGTATAATTACACACAAATTCTTTCACAATCACCCCTCCCAATATAAGTTTGCACAACAAACTGAAAAAACAACACACTCTTTAGAAGTTTATCAGGACTCAGCAAGAACAGTTGGACAAGTCTCAACTCCTACTAAGATGAATATTCAAGTTAGCAAATCAAGAGCATAACTAATTGTTTCTCAAGTAAAAAAACACTTATCTCTTTATAGGTTTGGTGAATCTCATTAAGTTAAAAGAAGCATTTTAGCCTACTGCATTGAAGTCAGTTAATAGGAGCATTACTATTCTGCATAAAAATATCTAGTTAGTAATCTTTTGGGCTTTGTCTACCAATTATCCAATTCCAGAACATCCATGCTGTGCTTTCCAAAAATGTTATTTTTGAGTATTTTTTAGGGGGGAAGTCACAAGGTGGTGGTTTTCAGCACGTTTTTGAAAGCTGACTAGAAAACTGGCAGCTCCTACTAAGAAATACACAAAAGTATTAAAACGCACTTCTTATTTACAAGTCTATAAAATGGAGATGATTGTCTCAGAAAGACTTCCTTTTCCGTCATAAGTCAAATTCTTAGAAATTCGCAGTTCACTAACACAGTGAGCAGAAAATGTGCTCTTATAAGGCCATAGACACTTTCACCCTGTGTATGGCTGTGACAGAACAGGCTGCTACCACATTCCACTTATCTGTGACCTCTGCCAGAGATTGAAGCCCAGCTTGGCAGCGAGCCTCCCAAGACGCACACTGGGGTTTCCCTTGACTGAGACACAGAGAAGCCTTTTGCAAAGCAGATGTGTGGCAAAGCCATACAATTTCTCTATGAAAAGCAGGAATTATTTACTGCTATAGTAAGTTACTCGAAGTTAATCTGTGGTCCCAAGAGGTGAAGAGATAATCAATATAAACAAACTAAAAATTATGGCAGAAACAAAAATTACAAGGAAATAAACTTAGTAGTCAAGGCCACAACTACTCTGAAAGGACTTAAACTAAGTGCAAAGTTGCTATTTTTTTTTTGTGAAATAATGCCCAAGCCTACCTTATATTATACTCCCCAAATACACTACCAGCACTGGATTTCCCAGGTTTCCCAGTTCAAGGACTTTTGTTTATTCCAGTCTCATGTCCAGAGGAGACACACATTTAACCTGCTAGAACTTTTATGTCCTTTCTAAATGTAATAGATGAACACAGGAAAGACACAAGAATGATCAAGCAGAACAAGCTAGTCATGACTCATAAGCTTTAGGTCAGAAGGTACAGACTATTTGGGCTACTTAATTAGATTCAACTAATTCACAAGAAAAAGCACAGCTAATCTAGGTGATATTTGTCTGTCAAGCATCAGAAATTTGGGAGAGCATAACAAATTGTAACATAGAATACATGTTTACCACCAAAGTCTCCAACAGAAATTGCAAAATACAGCTTAGCAATACGTGTGCTCAAAGCATAAATAAACCTTTCACTAAGAACTATGGAAGTAATGGCCAAATTTTGGCTATTTTGCAAAAAAGCTGAGGCACACACATGCACACCTCCATGGAAATGCAGGAGAAAAATCTGAATCATGGAAGGCAACATTTCTGGAAGAAAGAATAAATTACAAATGAAGACATTATTTTCAACCAAGGGGTATTTGCTTCAGAAGTTACAGCAAAACACCTAAAAATGGCCAGCAGTGACAAATTAGGAAAAATCAGTAATTGGAAAGACATACACTGCATACTTTGTTAAACTCAGATGTAGTGAAAGATAAAGAAGATGCCCCTATCTGTTTTGAATTACTCCGGTTCTAAGCAGACTAGTACGAACACACAAGTTCCTGTATAGTCTCACTAGCAAACAAAGAAAATTCCACACATTAATTCCACTGTGCTTTGTTCTAAAAGTATCTATAAAGAAAACTGTTATGAATAAGACCATGTTACTCAAAATGAAGTCACCCAATGCAAAGCTTAAGAAAAACAACTCAAAGAAAAAGACCCCCACCAAAATACATTTAAGAGAAATATACTTTAAATTGCATATGTTGAAAATGAACAGAGACACTACTGGGCATGTCTCAGAAATAAAGGTTCCACTAACTGCCCACTCCTAGAGAGGTTTGTAAAACAGGCTTGCTTTTTTTTCCCCCTCAAAGTTTAGGAAGTTGTATGAAAAAGATAAGCTTTTTGTTAGAATTACTGAAAGTCAAGAAGACTCATGACTTTCCTGTGCCTAAATCTTGTTGCTAAACTGAAAACCTCTTTCTCATCCAAAGGGGAAGGGTGGGGCAGAAAAAAGAACAGAAAAAGATCTTGTCAGTAGACTAAGGAAAGAAGGGCAATTTCTTTTGACACTAACTCATGATTACTAGGGAGCATACAACTGGGAAGAGTGACAGGGGACAACAGTTGCAAAGGCATTCACAGATGGGAATGGCTTCTGAGCATATCCAATAATTTAGATTTCACAACTCCTGATACAGACACCATGGCATAGGAACTACTCATACAAAATTCCTAAAGAACTTCCTAACATCAAGTTTCACCACTAACTCCACTTGTAGATTAATGTCTGGTACATTGAATAGCAGGGATATTAATCTCAGTGCTGACTTCCTCCTAACCATTTACTCCTGCCCTTTATTTCTTCATCTTCTAACCTATGAACAATTAGCTATTATGAGATAAGGAGGAGACTTCTTCCCATGATCTTCCTGATGGAAAGCACTATGTCCACAAACTTAAATACTGTCCTTAACCATATTAAATATGCATTTTGTACATAGTCTACTTATGAAGTGCTTTCAAATGTATGGCATCTCCAGGTCCATTTCCGTAATACTCCCTCAACTCAAAATGAATTCATAAGGTCTCTGAACAATACTCTTCCTCCAAAAAAGAGCATACAAGAAGTCAATATGAGATTCTAGACAGACCACAATTGCCATATCTCCTTGGGCATGTTTGGGAATAGATTTCAAGAAAACATTCATTTACTTTTCTGAAAGTGCTAGTCTTTGTTTGCTATGCCATAAATGGTGGGATTCTGAAATTGAGGGAGAGGGAGGCTTAAGCCACGAAAGGAATCTAAAAATCCAGACTTCGCAAAGACTACAGCCAAAGACAAAATGCTCTGAACAAGGATCCAAGACCACTTTTCCCAACATTTTTCACTACTCCTCTGGTTGTTGGTTCATGTCAGTGAGTTTAGAATCATTTTGCAGTTGAAAGAGACACTGGGAGACTTTTTTGTTTTTTTTTTTTCTAAATCAAGGTACCAAAAAGAGAGAATAAGGTCAAGTCCTGTCCCATTTAGTTGTGGTATAAGAGCTTCGATCCCAAGAGTCAACATTCAACAGACAAGAGAATTTTAAAGAAAGGCTTCTGCTGAATAGCACGTATTCCAATTGGACCACAGCACACTCCAGAGCAGCTGAATCACAGAATAGGTCAGGTTGGAAGGGACCAACCACAGTGAGTCATCTGGTCCAACCTCCCTGCTCAAGCATGGTCACCGTAGAGCACAGGGCACTGTGGAACTTCCTGCACATCAGTTTCTGACCACTGCCTCTTGTCCTATTGCTTGGCACCACCAAGAAGAGCCTGGCTCCATCCTCTTGACACCCTTCCTTCAGATACTTATAGACACTGATGAGGTCCTCTCTCAGTTGTCTCGAGGCTGAACAGACCCAGCTCCCTTTCCTTTGTAAGAGGGATGCACCAATCCCTTAATCATCTTTGTTGCTCTCCATGGGACACACTCCAGGAGCTCCGTATCTCTCTTGTACCGAGAAGCCCAGAACTGGACACAGCACTCCAGTGGGGCAGGATCAGCTCCCCCTGACCTGTTGGCAGTGCTCTTCCTAATGTACCCCAGGATACCGCTGGCCTGCAACTTCTGCAGTTGCTACGAAATTTAGATGACAAGAAAAGTAGAAAACCTAGAAGCCATTTAATTAGACATTAAAAAAAGGAAACTTCTGATTCTAACAGAAAGACGGCATAAACATTTATTAGTGGGTAGAATGTCTCCATCTCTGCTTCCCATTCTCACTGGGGAAAAAGTCCTTATCCAGACTTAAAGATCACTGGAGGGATTCAGACTTTCTTTTCCACAGATTCTCCATTTCTTCATGGTTTGATACAGATCTGACTGATGCACAAACCACCTCTCCACAACTCTGTCATTTAAGTTGCAGGCATAACAAAAAGCTGTTTTTCAAAATTTGTCTTTGTTTAAAACTCTTGACAGGAATATATTCCCTGACAATTGCTCCTTATCTTATGGCTTTTTAATGAGAGTCACTTCTGGTAAACTGGTGTGCTTTAAGAACCTTTTCATTATTCTTATGTTATTGTTTTAATTTCATCAAATCCCAAATGATCACAAAGCAGCAGCATATAAAACACACATGAATTTAAACAACAACTACAACACTAACAAAAAACAAACAGCCAAGACAGAACATCAGAACAGCAGTTAAGATATACGGAACTTGTAAATGGGCCTGACCAAGTTTTCATCTCAGCTAAAATTTTATTGTATTAGCAATCAACTCAAAAATGGTAAAAAGATTTAATTGCAAGCTTTAGTGCTGAAATCTGTACATTCTGAATGATGAAGGGGACATTAGAAACAGAACATCCTTTATCTTGCTAAATCAGTAACACCTATGAAAGATTTTCCACTTAAAACTAGGGATTTAAAAAGGCTAACAAAGAACGCTACCCTTGAAAGAAAACTAAACCCTCCCTACACATTCTTGCTTATGCTCACTACAACAACAGATGACTTTGATACAGCTCTGGTCCTACCTAGTAGCAAACTCATTTCTAGAATACATACATACACACACACAAATACATGGCTTGCATACCTTGTAAGTGTTTAGGCTCCACTTTCTCACCAATTCCAGTTTCTCCATCGCTGGATTCTTTACTTCATCTGCTAACACAACAGGCCCACTCTTCTGCTGAGCCCTGCTCCCTGTGTCAGACAAAGCAAAGGCCTTGGATTTGGGGTTTTTGTTTGGTTTTTTTATAAAGGATTAATAGGAGGTATGTAAGATTTGTGCAAAAGCAGAGCAAGGTGACAGTATGAACTGAAGATGAATAAGCAGATCTCAAAATCACTTCCAGAAAGAAAGACTTATTTTAAAACTGATATAAAACATATTTTATATCCCAGTATTTCTTGTAGTAATAGGCTGCACAAAGCTTACTGAATGCATGTCTTACTAACCAACCTTAAAACAGCTTTTGAGACACTTATTACTTAAGCTATGTTTTAAACCTCCAACAGCTGAACATCCTGTTGGATTTAGCCATTCTAAAAGTCTGTTTACAACCTGCAGGCCATTAAATGAAAATTATTGGCATATAAAAACTGTTGTCCCAAAGTACAGGGTTTTTTTAATCTTTTCCAGTGAGCACCATCCTTTCCAGAAGTTGCGTTCAATCAATATCTTACTTATTTCAATTTTATTAGCTCATTGTATTAGGAACAATTAATTCTACAAACCACCAGTATGGAAGTATCAACAAAGAGCAGATTTAAAGCAACATATTAAAATATCCAGGGCCAATCACTACACATAAATTGCCCTTACTCAGCATTTTCAAGCTAGTATGAGATATCGTGAATTCTATGTTTCAGTTTTGCAAAAGTAATTCCTAGTGTACTAAATACTAGAAACTGCTAAAAATAGTAACTTTTAAGCAACATTTTATTTTTTCATGTACAATTCTGACTACTCCCAACTCTAATCCCTACTGCTACTTACAGTCACCTTAGCCTTGCCAAGTTATTTTTGTAAGCAAGATTTTGGAAAAAAGTCTATACAGATGCCTCAAGATACTCCTTTAGCATCCTACTATGTTCTTTACATCTTCAAAATGCTGTGCAAACATAAAGTAACTAACCCTCTCAACACCCTTATGAGGCCACTGAGCAAGTTTTCTCCTTTTATACAGGAGGAAACAGACTAAGATGTTAAGTAATTTGCCCAGAGGCACAAAATGAGTCAAGTGGCAAAGCCTAGTTTGGGTGTTGTGAATTCCTAATGGCTGCCTCCATAGTCTAGTTGATTGGAATATGTGATCATTTTGGCAAAAAAATCCAAAAGTTTCAGTTTTAACCTAAATAAAAGATTTTGGTCTCTTCTATTTCAGTTGGTTTTTAACTGTTATTATTAATATTTGGTAGTTATATTTCTAATTTTACAGAGTAAAAGCAGCTGACAGAGAGGAAAGCAGAGGTTACTTTGTGAACTGTTAAAAGTCAGAAATGAGAGCCATCAAAAAACCCCAGAAGTTGAATTTCCAACTAATAGTAAATCAAATTATTAGAGATGTGGAGGGGTTAGTACATTGTCAGCAGAGACGAGGGCGTTATCCACTCAGTGCTTTGATACCTGTGGGAATAATTAAATCACAACCTTGTCCAGCCAGTCTGCTAGCTGCTGCACTGCTAGGAGATATAACAGATGATTTGGGTGATGCTGAGGAACCTGAAAAGGGGACATTTAACCATGAAAATCCATCATCTTCCCATAGAAATCAACGCACACTTTTACACAGACATGGGGTTTTTTTTCAAAACAAAGAAACATTTGCTTCAGCAACAACAGAAGCATCCACAGAAAAGGTGCTGTAATTTCTGATGGAAATGCTTTTTAAGAGGTGCAGCTGTCCATGTGAACTATGCCAAGTTTTCATGATTTAATCTTTTTCTCTGCATCATGATGACGATTTTTTTTTTCTGTAAGAGTAATCAAAGCACAACTGACAGCTTCATCAGTAAAGTACATACCATAAACAGAAATTCCATGTACGATTGTTATATACAGTTTCTACAGCTGAAACATCCTTTTTTAGGTCCAGGTAGATTTGACTCTGCGCTGTCACTGAATGGTACTCAAAGCATTAAGAGGTGAAGTAAGCTCTGAAATCTCAGCCAGCTTCAGATACACTTCAGTGACATTGACTCTTTAGTCAGTGTAAACACGCAGCAGTAAGTTATACTGAAGATCATAGGAGTCATTAGCTGTGGAAGTGTGTAAGCTCATTCTCAAAAGAAAGATTTTACATCACTTGCTTTTTCTCTTAAAAAAACTCAACCAAACAAAACCCAACTAACTTTAAATGACATGCACTCTGTGTGTTCTCTAAGCTGTTTTAGGATTATGCTTTTCAGAGCTTTGCCACTCTATCATAACAGATAAATTTGAAGTGGCATCCTTATGAAATTTTCAGGATTTAAAAACCAGCCAAACAAATTAGCTTTTTCTCTGTAGTGATGAGTGACCCCTGTACTGGGGGGGAACTTTTATTACTTTTGCTGAAAAATTCCAATGTACTTCAGGGCTAACAGTGTAATAACGAGAGGAAAGGAAATCAAACCTGAACATTAGTGGTTTCAACAAAATTTAGTTATCAGGAACACCAAAACACCACTCAAAGTAACTGGATCAACAATTAGCTTTTGTCTTTTACACATACTACAGAGCACTACTAACATGGGGTTAAGTAAATCCAATGATTTGGATCCAACTGCACAGAAAAATGAGACAAAGACAGCTCACTTGCTGTGTTCTCCTGTAGCAATACATTGCATAAGAGCTGCAATTGGATTCATCCAGGCGTAGAAGTTTGACTGCAAGATCCTGCTAAAGGCCTCAAGACTGAATCATTTCAGCAAGCGAGCCAAGACAAGCAGTTAAAAAATCCTTATCATTTGACAGAGTATTAATGCAGCCTTATGCATGCTTCATCATTCAACATCTCCCAAATCCTAAAAGCCCTTCCCCTCCAGTATTGTCTACTCTGCATTCAAAAATGAAGCCCTAGTAGAGGCACTAAAACAGAATTTTTAGAAATAGGGCAATCATTCAGGTTTTGTCCATACTTTCACAGGAAGTCCTAGGTTTTATCACTTCTCTCTGTCTGATTTTATTAGAACATCAGGAAAAATCTGAAGAAAATATCCTTGGAGGGAAACTATGACATCCAAAGTGTCCAAAGCTCATAATTTGTATACAAAAATTTTCACAGAACATTTGCATTTCAAACATATTAGAGTAGCTTTAAACGCATATTATACACATTTCCCTTATAGGCTAATGCACTTAACAGCTGCAACAGTTATCCTGCTAATACAATATAAAAAGGCAAAAATGGTGAGCAGTTTGCCATCTGCCCAGTTTTTAGCTAGATATTTTGCTAATTTCAAAGCTAAAGAAACATAACATTCACTTTGTAATATATGTAATGTACAGCATATAAATCACTGTTTTCCTAAGCAAAGAATTTCACCAAACAGGAAATGAAGGAAAATGAAAATTAAATCTATGACTACAAAGAGACTGATTTTCACAGCTATGCATTTGAGATAATTTCCAACCTTTCAAATTCAGAAACTGTCAAAGCTACATAATTCATCAAATATCATTTGCACATACTGTATTATGGTATTCTATTGCTTTTTGACAGATAGGAAACACTGACATTATTGGCTTGTTTATCACTTTGTATTTCTCATTGTTTGATACCAGCTTAGACTCTCTAAGGCATACATTAATACAACAAAGAAGAATTCCACCTAATAATTTGCTCTAGGTAAGTGAAGAAAAATAACTCTCCAGTTATGTTTCAAATCAGAATAACACCCTGCAAAATTTAAAGAAAACTTCTACACAATGTAACAGTACAATTCTTCAGCCTGACAGCAGTTCAAGGTGCTCAAGGACCTCCCTTCTTGTAAATGCATACCAATTTAACACTAAGTAGTTTCCTCTAGTCCCTTGACTGATACTGCAAGTGTAGCATATATTCTGTATTTTAACAACCCAGCTACCAGAGATGATAAACTGGTTGTCACTAATGCAAATCTCAATGTGTACATTTACACCAAACTGCTCAAAGCAGCTACAGAACATTGTGTTCCTGACCATGCAAAAACATGCCTAAAGATTTTAAACTGAGAAATACAAAAAAGCATTTACCTTTACTTGGAAATGGTCCTGCCTCAACAACTCCCTCTTTGGCACTGTCAAAGCCACGAGATGTTATTTTGGTTTCAGAAAGTCCAAGTCCAACTGGTAACGAATATTTCAAGTCCTTGAAAATATTTGAATAAAAAAAGAAAGTTAATGTTAAAAAAAAATAATTAAAGTGACTCAAAAGTATTAAAATGCAATTTCAGCAGCTCTCAGACAAGCAATTCAGTCTTTAGCCTGGAATGTCCTCGTTGGTGTCACAGCATTCTACTGCTACACAAATAAAACATAAATGAAAGAGAAACACTGTAAGTATAGCCTGAGTATGTATTCTAGACTTTTTTGTTATATTGATGAACAACTAGAATACCATCTCTTAGAGCAGCAGTTACCAAAACCGTGGCCTGAAACATCATGTTATATGGTCTGAAGCTGGTCCAAGCAAGCATATCAGTTTAATAAAGCTTCCAGTTAAAAACTGGACTGACAGGGGTGCAGAATGATCTAAGACTATCAAGCAGACAACATCTTAAAAACCAAAAATGTGGAAGCAATTATCATAATGTTAAAGATTAAAAAAAAAAAAAAAATCACTCTAAGCAAGAAATAGCTTTAAAAATCATAGCATCCTTATTTTTTATAAATAGCACATGAAATCTTTTTAATATTTGACACGGGAGAAACATCTGGAAAGGCATCACTTCAACAGCTTCCTTTTGAGCCTACATCACAAGTGCTCACAGCATAAAGCTGCCATTTACTTCTGATTGCTTTTGAAAGTCATTGATTTAAAATTGCTTAAGATCGCCTTGTTTAACTTTGGAGAACTAGATTAACTACTACAACCAACTTTCAAGCAACTGAAGTCTTCGCTGAAACCCAAAGCAGGCCTATAAATCCATACATCATGAACTATGAATCCATACACCACAATTCACACGCCATCCCCATTGCCCATTTTTGCTGTCTTGCCCAGCTCTACAAATAGCTCCTGCTAAGGTTTCCTGGACTATATTTCCAGCCTTCTGACTGAGGTTTAAGCCTCTGGTGTTACGGAATTATATTTAGTGCTTTAAAATAAGTTCAGGTTTTAAAGCAATTTAAAACCATTAATTCATAAAAGTAAGAAGTGTCTGAAAAACTACTGTGGAAGTGAAAGGAAAACAGTAAAATACAGTTACAAAAATAAAACATGAAGAAATTGGAAAACTGCCAGTGTCTGGAGTCAGGTACTTTTTTGCATCCCCTCTGCTTTCATACAGAGGCAAAAAAGTGGAAAAAGTATAGAGGAGCACTAGTGAAATTTGCACAGAAAAGCTACAGATAGCTTTAAGGTGTAGTAACTGTTTATGATATATGCAATGCTTCTAATTACAAAGAAAACACAACCTTTAAAATCCAATTCATGTTTGACCTATTACTGTAGTTGCTTGATCCACAAACCAGAAGCGGGATAGTGCATAAGAATGGTACTGCCTAGAGGCTCAGATTGTCAATAAGTGGCTTTGGATCACACGATCACATCCCCACAGATTTAGTTAGGTGTCTTTAGTTTAGGATAAACTCCTGGGAAGAGGAAAAAAAGGAAGAGCTACAAACATATGAATGGACAGAGAAATCTTGCTAACGTTAAAAACCCAGGATGTTACTGCAAACAGGGTAACCAAGTCCTACAGTCATATTTTTACTTACATGAACTGGCTAATAATAAAGTATGCCATATTTGTGTATCTAAGGCATTATACAAAAACAAAACAAAAAAACCCCAAGCGCAAAACAAAGAAATCATCCAGCATGAACAACAAATAGTAGTCACGTGCAGAACCTGATCTCACAAATTAAGCATATCGCAACATCGGATACATACTGTTTTCAGTCTTCACAACTGACTTAACACTGGTGCTTCCATTTAAGTACTCGCAGTTGGTGGTACCACGGAAAGCCTTTGCTTCAACTTAGTTTAGCTAATGCACAGAGTCCATTTAACTCAAAATGTAGCAAGTCACCAGACGCTGAAAAATTAGAGAGACTTGAAAAAGGATAACTAGATTGCAGAGAAGATGCACTGATTTAACAAAAAGGACATGGCATGAATTATTTTTTTCCTCAAGGCACCTTGGCGCCTTGTAGTTTTCAGAAATATCTAAACCCGTAGCCAAACAAATGTAGACAGCTAACCTGCTTAAGCATGTTTGCAATAGGAATCTAAGCAATCATCTGTATTTAATGTTAAAATGCAGAACATCTGCTTTTTAAAGATAAAAGTTTAGACATAAACTTAAGCAATTGTAGTACTCTGTACATTCAATGTAATTCTAATTTGAAGCTAAACAGAGGCTGGACCAACTGTAATGCTAAATAAACCAGAATATCACAACACATCTTTCTCTTCAATAAAAACTTGGTATTTGGATTATGAAAATTATTAATATCTCCAACTGTCTATATATATACACACCAGGGTGTTTTACATAAATATATGCATATGTGTATGTACACACACATGTATTTGTTCCAAGAGATCTAATTTTTTTCACTGTCAAAAAGGCAAAGTTCAGTCTAAAGAACTGCATTCAAACCTCTTTTTAAACACTTGTTAACGAGTTCAAATATATCCTGATGAAGAACGCCATCCTTGCATAAGAATTTAAAAGAAAGACCTATCATAGCATACATGACCAGAACTGTCATCAAAGTCAGTAACTATCAAAACAATACCTTTTTGTTACTTATAAACATGCAAGTTACTGTTCAGTGGATAAACAGTGCTGCATGTAAACTTCAATTTTTGACATGTCATTCTTACAATTGATTGTGCTTGCCTTTTCTTTTTACAGAAGTGTAGATAAACAAAAAAGCTAGCAAAAAACCCTGTAATCATACTGATCCAGCAATTTATCCCTTCAAAAATTTACAAAGGATAACTTAGGGAGGACAGATTCCCCTACTACAGTAAGGTGATTATATTTTGACAACATACTGCTCTTTTAGCTAAGTGTAAGATTTCTCCCTCTCTTTGTAAAAGGTAAGTCCAAGTCTCTAGAATTGATCAAAATTTGTTGATACATTGCAAAACCACAAATCTGTTAACAGATCACCATTACCAAAAACTAAAGAGAAAGACGCTTCTTTCGTAATTTTCAATTCTATGACATTGTTTATGCAATTATCTTCTAGAAAAAGTATTTCAGTATTGTAACTTCACTGAGACACAGAGCTAGAGGTATAAAAAAACACAGCTCAGAAGTTTCCCAAGGAGTTAAATGCTGGACTACCTATCCCACTCTCAGCCATTTAGCATGCTTAAGGCTCAAAGAAGCAAAGCATGAAATATAGGGACACAGAACAGCTGCACTAACTTAATTAGGTCTGCTCAAGACAGTCCAAACTTAGGTGACACAGAACATTTAAGCCACTTCAACCATTTGTTAAAATCCCATTTTAATTACTTCAAATCACCACATTAAACTAAACATGTTTTAGTCAGGTTAGCCTTATTTACACAACCCTAACAGGGATATTATCAGTCTATTATACAGATCATCTAGAGGTACCAGTATGCATTTTTGACATAGCAATCCTGTCGAGACAGTAGACACAGCAAAGAAGTCACTCAGAACACATGTTCATGAAGGAATGTTGGCTGAATTACAAGACTATTTTCAAAACAATACTTCCCATCCATGCTATCCATATTAATCTAAAATGAAGAAGGGAAAGACCAGAACTGTATTTTCCCCAACAGTAGAAACCAACCTAGCCAAAACTTGCTTATTTTGAAGAAACTTATTTAACTAAGGAGCAACTAAGGAGGTATCACTGTATTAATTTCTTAGTTATGCCAGTCCATTATTAATGCATGACTAAGCATTATCTTCTCCTTAGTACCAGCAGTAGGTTTAACAGAAATGGTTTTACTTGCCTTTACTACCTTGTTTTTAAAACCCCACATCACTAGCTCGTTCAATAAATATATGTGGAGCAACTAAACCGGGACCAATCATATGCTTGTTTATTTTTTAAACTCAGGCCACTATATGCAATTTGATTTAGAAATTTTTTAATGATGGATGACTCCAGTTGCCTTCAGGAAAAATTTGCAACCCATCTTATTGTAAAGTTCACAGTTTAAAGTCCAATGATACAGAAAGCTGTGTATATACACATAACATCTATCCAGTAAGATAGATGGGCTCTGAACTTTAACTTCTTATCCAAAGTCATGCACAAGTACAGCTCCTTGTACATATTCAGCATTTTCTTCTTCTCTTCGCCCTATTACATCACTCAGTTCCTATTTTCCATTAAGCCACTAGATCCTCCAATCAGTTTAAATTCAAGCATAAATACATGTATTCTCCAATACATTGTTCTTCACTCAAAAGACCCCTTCTACCATATCCCTTTTGATTCACCTAACACTGCAATCCAGTTTTAAATTAGTTTCCCTTCTACTCTCATCATTAACATGCATATTTTTGGTTTTTCAGACTGTACGAAGACCACTTGACTTTTTTGTTTTATTTCCTGAAAACAGTTTTCTAGAACTGACACACAGAAATGAATTTTAAATCAGCCTACATTAATTAAACTATAATTACCAAAATCTGACTATGTCAGTGAACCTAGTAAAACCTAAGAGATGAACTCAGATGTTGCAGGCAGAATGTGAGTGACAAGGCTGGTGTCTTTTTTTCAGAAGGCAAAAGACAAAAAAGAATTGACCTTGTCTATTTGTGCAGTCTGGCAATAAAATTACAGAACAAGATACTGAACACGGGCATTCAGATTCATCAGATTCCAGAGCTTATTTCATAATTCTAATAAGATAAATTGAAGACACAATACAGTTGATTTATCTTTTGCAGCCTGAAGTTTATTACTGGTATTATATACATGTTTAACAATGATTTTGTTCCCATAAGAGTACAGTAAGATCCATGAAAAAGAGTCTATGCTGAAGTTAAAAGGAAACAATTGAAACAACCAATTCAGAGACTCAAACTGATATGAATGTCATATAGATTTTATACAATAGTTTAAATGTAACAAATCACTTAAAGCTGCTTGAGTATCTTTACAGGCAGACCAAACAGTTTTCTGAAAAATTAAATTTAATCCTATGCAGCTTTCACACTGTATGCCGTGTTATTGAATATAGAAATAGAAAATAGAAATAATATACTTCCTCACTCCTTCCTACAAATCTCAGCTCTCAATCCCCACAGTGACATTAAAACACCAATGTGCTAATCACATAATTATAACAGCATGGCAGGAAAACTAGAAGTCAGGGATAAGTGAAACAAAAACGTGAATTATATAAACCAGTAATACTCAAATATTCACAAACCGTTCTATACACCAAGTTCTTAAAGCTTAAGTGAGTTCCAACAGAGCTCAGAGAGCTGGAAAGCACTGGGTCAAGCTTTTTCTTAATGAAAGAACATTAGATATTTGATCCAATGATGACTGAAGCTACAGCTTTTTTTAGTTAAAGAGTTTCCATCCATCATACAGGCAGGACAAAACTTGTTGGAATTCCACGGGCATGTTTTATTATAGAATTAGAATGTAGCAGCATATTTCTGAATGAGATTTTACAGGTAGGAAAACATTTATTTAAGTTACCTTGTATGTATGCTTTATACCAAGAAGATGCATCAATTTGTGCTATATCACATTCCCACAAGATTGGAACTAACATGCTTCCTTCTGAAATGACATTGTGACAATCTATGCTGTCTGATGTTCTGCAAAACTAAAGGAGGAGTCTTTTCTTCAAAGGAGGAGCAACACTGCACTGCCTTGCAAAAATTAAATACTTCTCACGCTTGAGTGCATACTAATACTGCATTTGCTGAAAAATAAATGTGCACTTTCAAGCCTGAGCAGCCTGAGGTCAGATGGAAGTGCTAACTAGAACATGAGTCTAGAGGAAAGTGTAGTGTTGTCATTAAAGAAATCTAAGAAAAAGGTTGTACAACTACCTCTTTACTCAGTCTATCAAAAACATACAATCTAAGCTGCTCAAGTCTTCATCGCAAAATAGCTGTAGAAGACAAAAAAATACAGAATAAATGGTATTTTATTGTTTACATTCTGAATTGTAAAACACCTAGATGAACATGTACCTGATTATAAAAATAAAAAAGCAGGAAGCCAAAATAACCTTGTTCTCCAGCTCCTAAAGAAGGTGCAATCAATATCAGTATATTGGAATTTGAGTGCTCTAAACTCTACTGTGGTCACATACTCTTACCAAGCACTGTGATAACAATTCAAATTAAAATAGTCGTGGTTTCCTGCCCCTTTCTTAAGCAACCTCATAAAAATAAGTACTTGGCTTGTCATTTCTGTAAGTTGATAGGAAAAATGACCCCTGAAAACTCAGCAGAGAAATTTTGTGGTGCAATGCATATATTGCTTTAAGTTAAAAAAAAAATTATCTGGCAAGGAAAAAAAGAGAAAGCACAGCATTAAGCATTAGAAATAACAAACATGAATCAAGATGAATAGAAGACTAAATACTAGAATTCAAGACTACCAGATTAGTAAACAGACCTAGATGTTAATTCCAAGAAGTTTGTTTTCTTTGTTTTGTTTATAAGAAGTCCTGTTTATCACATACTCTGAGTTTAGGTCACACATGCGGGTGTTAACTTGTATAAGACAGTTCAAAAAAATAATTGAAGTGCACTTCTTCATTGATCTCAGAATAAGCACTGAGAAATAATTACAGCAACAAGTTCAACTTTGCTTGCATAGTGTAAGTTTTCTGCAATTTGACCAAATATCTGACCCACTTTTGTGGAAGTAGAAGTTTCAAAATATAGTTGACTTCAAGCCAACAAAATCATTAGCATGCGAGCAAAAACCTACTCCAAGTTTTTTTAATATATATATATATATATGGTCATAGACAGAAACTACCTTAAAATTTCACCTTTACATTTCGACTGAACAGGAGTGCAGGTTCCACTTGCTGTCCGTAAGTATTGCATGCACTACACTGAAGAAGCAACCGTAATGTAAGGAAAAGGTAACTTCGACAGCAGTCAAGTCACAGCAGCAGTAGCTTAAAAATAGTAAATCTGTTTCTCTACTTCGAGGTGAACCCAAATTCATTACTACTTCAAGATACATTTCCTAATGTCCACTTAGGCATATGTACATCTTTATAGAAATGTAGTTTTAATTTTATTTCATTAGATACTGTCCCAATTTTTACATTATGCTACTGATAGAGCTTAGTTGAATGACAAATCTTAAGAAACATAACCCTTCCCTCATTACAGTGCTATTCATAAAAAAAATCCCCATACATCAGAAGCAGAAAAAATGCCCAGTAACAAGTGCAGTATTTTTAATATGAATGCATTTCCATCTCATGAAGTTTTACACTTTTTTTTACAGCCATGCTCACTATACAGCTACCCTACAATCATAGTCAAATGGTCTCAGATCTTGTTTTCACGATATATTTTATTTTTTTTATTTCTTAAAATACACATTTATACACATTTAAATAGAATATTTATAATTAAAATTATACATGTTTTAAACCATAATTTTAGTAAATATATTTAAATGCCATTTTTCTGTCTTATGAATAAAATTCCTGGATTAAAAATCAGTACTCTCAAGGCTCAGAATCAATAATTAGAAATGCATACACTTGATTGCATACTACAGAGTACCCAGTACTTTACACCTTTTAGCATTCAGGAAAAAAAAATCATTACTAATATACCTTGCACTGCAATGTGCAGTATGTGCTTTGTTTTTTTTTTAGTCAACTTTAACAATAATTTATCATCTTTGAAGGCCTTTTTACATTAAAGTAAAAATAGAAGACAAAATTAGGCAAATTCTTATTGTATCAATATTCGGCATGTATATGTAATTTGGTTTTGAACTTATAAGGGTTGTCCCCTCTAATCAGCATTTTAGTAGGACAGAATAAAATGTTGAAGTTCTGCTAAGCATTCATTTTAAAAATAATCCTGCAGTGCAAGTCAGTATGGGACTGTTAAAACTCAGAGATTTCCTTAAAATCTAAGTCTCAGCAGATGTCAAATAAACGTGGACAATTAACTAGTCTTCGTATTTCCAAATGAAAATCAAAGAAAAAGAAAAGAAACCCAACCCCGAATTCCATAAGCTGTACCATGGCGCTCTCTGCTGGATGTCTGAACGCAAGGGAAACTGATCCATACGAATCAAGGTTAGGGGAAGGAATCAAAATTTGCCACGGTTAACATGTCTTTTATACAAAAAAGATTATTACAATGTGTGATGACACTATGCTATGTCAACTTTAACAATGATCTATGAGCTTCAAAGGAGTTTTTCCATTAAACCTCCAGAAAACCTCAAGTGAAGTCTGGTACGCCCTGCATTGTAACTTCAGCATTTCTGATAATGATACTTCGGCAGACAGCGAAGAAAATTCTTACCCTGTTAAAGCTGTGCTCATGAGAATCTTCCAGCTGTCCATTGCTAGTCACAGGAATTTCTGCTGCTGAATTTTTGGGAGACTCCTGAGCCATTGCACTTTCCTACAGTATAAGAAGAAACAGGTGATTTGTCTTAAATATCCAGTGAGTAATCCCTATGAAAACAGTTGACTTTATTTCAAACTCCTATTGGAAATATTCTGATATACTCGGTCTGCATACATTTGTTTAATCACATCCCCAAATCACAGTTACACATTAGCACAGCTCAGTCAGAAGTAACTTAAAGATCTAAGAGAAAAGAAACACTAAAATTTAGCTCACTGATATTGGGGGAGTAAGACACAAATGAGGCGTGGGGCCAGACAAATGTTTTCCATGCACACTTGAGCCTTAGTTTCTGTGTCTCAAACTATAAAAAAGGTGAGCTTAGCTAAAAAAAATTGTACTAGCTATAAACAGCAATAAATACTAGAAAAGTGCAGTGAGTTCATGTGTTACAAGAAAAGCTATGATTCCAAACCTTAAAATAGTTTAAGTTGCTTCTTATTTAGCCATAACATAGTGCCACCTTCTGACTAAAGTGTTGGTATGCAACTCTTATGCAGTCAACAGCAGCACACTTGGAAGTGAAATGCAGAAGCACTGAAAGAACTCAAAAGCACCAACGGAATTCAAGAATCAAAGTTACTTTCAAATGCAGTTGCATCATGAACAGTAGCAGCAGCTGTGAAACTACTGATTTCAAAAATGACCTAAGGTATAACCTAGAAGAGACATTCCCAGGAGAACCGCACATCATTTACAAGCACCTGAAGGGAGAATGGCACCCTAACACTCTCCAAAATGAAGAGACACTGAAAATTTCATCCCTTTCAAAAAGCTACTCCTACCTCTGCAAGGCAGCTTCATTAGTCATCTAAAGTGTAAACAGTAGAAAAATCAACACACAACCAAGGCAGTGTTTGTTCAATTACTTACATAAAAGTTGTCTGAAGTCTTCAAACCAGCCCATGCACTTGTGCAAGACTGGCAAGACAAGGTATACCATCAACAGGTACTTGAGAATAGGTACCTTTCTTCCCTTAAAGCTCCTAAATCATCAAACCAAACTAGTTCTTTTCAGTCTAAGGGTCAGGAAGAGAACCAGCCTGAGACAAGGCTGAAGTACCAGCAGCTTCTCCAACCACCCATGAAGCTTTACAGGATAACAATGTAACACAAAGATTTTACTGGTACTTACTGAGCATCACCTACATCATTCTAATTTGGCAACATCTTCCGTCATATCCCATTGCTAATATTTCCTCCATTTTCATGTATCAACACTTCATTTACATTAGTGAGATTGATTTCCTCAGTAAGTTTTGAGGCCTCTCAGCTTTTTTCTAACTAGGCACTGTCTGTGGGCTCCAATAAACGTGCTTCTCCAACTCCAGATAGCTTTCAAAGCTTTGCTACCATAACTTCTTCCAAAAAATGTAAATTACTGAGACTTCACCTCAGCTGGTCTTTTGAAGCAGAGGTCACAACTCGAACTTCCTTTGGTATCTATGACAAAATCTGAATGTGTAATAAGCTTCTTCAATTGGCAGCATAAAAATGTCCACCAAGTTCTGAATGAACACTGCCTTTTACCCATGCAGAGAAGAGAAAGAACAAGGAGAGTACCTTGGGAAACAACCCTAAAAACAAAGGGGACCAGGAAGGATGGACACACTTCAAAAAAGAAATCTTGAAGGCGCAGGAGCAGGCCAGCCCTATGTGCTGAAAGGCGAGCCAGTGGGGAAGATCGGCCTGCCTGAACAGGGAGATTTTACAGGAAATTAGGGGGAAAAAGAGAGTCTATCGCCTTTGGAAAAAAGGGTAGGCAACTCACGTAGTGTTTAAGAATGTAGTTAGGTCACGTAGAAAGAAAATTTGAGAGGTAAAAGCACAATTTGAACTTAATCTGGCCACTTCGGTTAAGGACAACAAAAAGTGGTTTTTAAAATACATCGGTAGGAAAAGGAGGGGCAAGGTAAACCTCCATTCTTTGTTGGACACGGAGGGAAACATAGTTGCAAAGATGAGGAGAAGGCTAGGGTAATGAACACCTTCTTTGCCTCAGTTTTCAACAAGACGACAGGTTGTCCTCAGGACAACTGGCTTCCTGGGCTGGTAGACAGCAACCGGGAGCCAAATAGCCCCCCTGTAATCCAGGAGGAAGAAGTTAGTGACCTGCTGAGCCACCTGGATTCTCACAAGCCTATGGGATCAGATGGGATCCATCCTAGGGTGATGAAGAACTGGCAGAAGAGCTCGCCAAGCTGCTCTCTATCATTTATCACCAGTCCTGGCTCACTGGGGAGGTCCCAGATGATTGGAAGGTGGCTAATGTGACACCCACCCACAAGAAGGGCCAGAAGGAAGACCTGGGAAACTACAGGCCTGTCAGCCCAACCTTGGTGCCTGGCAAGGTTATGTGCGATAACACAGCACCTACAGGACGGACAGGGGATCAGACCCAGTCAGCACAGGCTTAGGAAGTGCAGGTCCTGTCTGACCAACCTGATCTCCTTTTATGATCAGGTGACCCACCTGGTGGATGAAGGGAAGGCTGGGGATGTAGTCTACTGGACTTCAGCAAAGCCTTTGACACCATCTCCCACAGCATACTCCTGGAAAAGCTGGCAGTCCAGGTGTACTCTGTGCTGAATTAAGAATTGGCTGGAGGGCCGGGCCCAGAGAGTGGTGGTGAACGGTGCTGCATCCAGCTGGTGGCCGGTCACTAGTGGTGTCCCCCAGAGATCAGTGTTGGACCAGTCCTGTTTAATATCTTTACTGATGATCTGGACAAGGGGATTGAGTCCACCATCAACAAGTCTGCAGATGACACCAAGTTGGGGGAGTGTGTCAATCTGCTGGAGGGTAGGAGGGCTCTGCAGAGGGACCTGAACAGGCTGGATAAATGGGCTGAATCCAGTGGTACGATGTTTAACAAGGCCAAGTGCCAGGTCCTGCACTTTGGCCGCAACAACCCCATGCAGCACTACAGGCTGGGGACAGAGCGGCTGGAGAGCGACCAGGCAGAAAGGGACCTGAGAGTTCTAATGAACAGAAAGCTGAACATGAGCCAGCAGTGTGCCCAGGTGGACAAGGCCAATGGCATCTTGGCCTGTATCAGGAACAGTGTGGCCAACAGGTCCAGGGCAGTGATTCCGCCCCTGTACTCAGCACTGGTTAGGCCGCACCTTGAGTACTGTGTTTGTTCTGGGTCCTTCAGTTTAGGAAGGACACTGAGGGGCTGGAGAGTGTCCAAAGAAGGGCAACGAGGCTGGGACAGGACTCGAGCACAAGTCCTATGAGGAGAGGCTGACGGAGCTGGGGTTGTTCAGCCTGGAGAAGAGGAGGCTCAGGGAAGACTTTATCACTCTCTACAACTACCTGAATGGAGGTTGGAGCAGGGTGGGCAGTGGTCTCTTCTCCCAGGCAACCAGAAGAAGGTCAAGAGGGCACAGTCTTAAACTGTGCCAGGGGAGGTTTCGGTCAGACATGAGAAAGAAATTCTTTACAGAGAGAGTGATCAGATATTGAAATGGGCTGCCCAGGGACGTGGTAGAGTCACCGTCCCTAGAGGTATTTAAGAAGAGACTGGATGTAGCACTGAGTGCCATGGTCTAGTTGACAGGGTCGTGTTGGGTCATGCGTTGGACTCGATGATCTCAGAGGTCTTTCCCAACCTGGTTGATTCTGTGGTTCTGTGACAAGCCACTCTAAGAACCCTGCATATCAACTACAAGCTGTCTAAGTACACCCAAAAAATACCACCTGAGGTGATACATTTCCCCCCTTTGAGGATAAATACTCTCTACAACTAACTTAGTAGAACTGAATTGAATGCTACCCTTTCAAAAATAGTGCTTTATGAAACCTTTCCCTAGAATAAGCAGCTAAACATTTAGGCACAGCTTGTTAAAAAAAAAATCTAAATACAGAGAGAAGAATTTTAAAATCATTTAAGAAAAAGTGTGCTATAAATTCAAGGAAATGGTGACTTCATAACACACTAACTTATCCCATCAATCTCTCTCATTTAAGATCCAGCAAGTATCTTCTTTCAGCACTGGCAAGGAATACCTCCTATGCCATATATTCACATTGGCCTAGCATACCAAATTCTTCACACCGCCCAGTCTTCACCCACAACCAGAGAACAGAACTTTTTTTTTAGGTCATTCTTAATACAACTGAATAAACTCAAACCTTGTAGCCTTTAAGTAAATGAAGATACTGAAGCACACCAAAAGGTCTATGCTTACTTTATAAGTACTTCTAAAACACTAATTTGTTTAATTTCATAAAATATAGAATATCTCAAGTTGGAAAGGACCTATAAGGATCATCAAGTCCAACTCCCTACTCTTCACAGGGAATTGCTACACAACACCACCAGATCAAATGTTCTAGTTATGTATCATATTAGATTTTCATTTAGGAAATCTGCCCAATAGATCAAGCTTCTTAAGCTTGCTCTGAATCTCTCATCTGCTTAAGCTCTAAGACTGCTAGGAACCACACTTCTACTTGACACGGTCAAGTGTGGTATTGTTCAAAGGCTTGGCCTGTCACAGCCACCTGCACAATACGGAAACATTGGCATAGGCTAACACAGATACTTTTGGTCTTCTTTCTGCAAATTATCAGAGAACACAGTGCAAAGGGGAACTCCTGTACTGTCAGAGAATACGTTTTGTTTGGCAGGGATCACAAACAAAAATGCACCTCTAAATTTAACTAAAGGCAAAACAAATACTTGGCTTCGGTGCTTTTCATCAACAGTCTCAAATCACCTTGCAAATATTGACATTGATATATTTTTATACATTTATTCAAAGATATACACACTCAGGCATACGCACGTCTCTAGCAAATACATATATTAAAAAACCAAACTCATCAGCTTCTCTGGACAACTTCTGAAATCTACTACAACCTAGTAGCAATTCACCTATTTTTTTAGGCATTCCTACTTGAGTCAAACTATGTATGTAGTTCAGAAAAAGCAAAAAATTACTTGCTAACTTCAGTTTCACGCTATGTTTGAACTGTAACATAATTTTCCTTTGCTGAAAGGAGGACATTTCACCACTCTACTTTTCCAGTCCCTACTGTGAGCCACACAGTGTCCCACCTCTGAACCACTCACCTGACTGCAGTCACCACACACAACTCACTAACCTGGCAATGGACCTTTTCACCAGGTTAATTTTCCAGTGTCAGTGAGTTGAATCAGTTTGCAGTGAGGTAAGTACCAAAGACGTGAAACGAGCAGCTGAAAAGGGGAAGTGGGATAAGCTGCTAATTTGACTCAGACATAACAAGAAACCACTGCCTGCATTTTAGTCAACAGTTTAAGCTAACACTGTTGTCAAAAAAAGTCCTTGCCCTTTTCCCCAACTCTTCCTCCTATCAGCTTTCACCATTCCTTCACCTCTTCCCTGAGCCAGAGCAATGTATCTGTACAGCAAACAAGATTCCAGAAACACTGCAGGTTAAAAGAAGGTGACCTGTGCTCAAAAAGAGGATGGATAATTTTTCCACTCACATCAGTTCCCCAAAACAGTTCATCACATGGGTCCTACACTTGCACCTATGAAACTGAGGGGGTAATAATGCAATAAGAATATATTGAGAATAAAGGACTGCTCTTGGCCACAGCATCAGCTTACTTTAGCAGTGCAATACCTCAAAATACTTACTCAACTGTAGGCTACTACCAAAAACAAGCAGTCATTTCTCTTTACCTCTGCATGTGTGTTCCTGTAACCTCACACAATCATGGTGAGCTTATTGATCTGAGAGAAAACTAAAGCATCAAACCACAACAGTACTTCTGTTGAAACAGTGAGTATGATTGCTGAATCAAGTGCCCCTTTGGCAAGTGTAACCCACAGCTGGCTTAAACAAGGCAGAAATTGAATCCTCAGAAGAAAAATTATCATATGTAGAAACAGCCTGAAGTAAATCTTAATAAGTTCCTAAATTTGTATTGATGTATTAAGCATGAATGACACAAGCATTACAGAAAAACATGACGCTGAAGATGGACTTTTTATTTAGAAAAAAATAGAATCATCCTTCAGTAACAATCAGTATTTTCTTTGCACGTATCTGTTTACAAATATCAGATTTGGAGATATGCTAAATAGCTGTGGAATCACTATACTGTTTTTCTAAAAGTTTAAAAACAATTAACTGGCATTGAAACTCTAATAGTGATAAAATCAGCATTAGTTTCTTCATTTTTACTCTAGAACAGTCACAAAAATGTTTATTTTTCTGAAACAGCCTCCCAAACACATTCTGATCAGCTAAATAATATTAGGAACCTTAGGAATTTGTTCATAATTTCAAAATGTCACAGACTTCTCCATAAAGAAGGAACAAGCTGTCTCTGCTCCCAAGAAAAAAAAAAATTCACTACTTCAGCAGTAGATAGAATACCTTGTTGTAGTGAGATTACACAGATTGTTGCTTTTCAAATACCAATCCTTTTCCCTCCAGTACTTACACATTTCAGAATCCATGCCTAAATCTATTCAACTTACAAAACAAATACAGCACAGCAACAGACTACTGGCTGAAGCAATCCTTCACTATGAATTAATCAGAATGTTCTTAATAGTGTCTCAAAACCAACCCACCCACTCAAGATGCTGTGCGTGAGCTCGTAGCCCCATACTAATACCACTGTGCTATGTAGAATTTTTGGTAGTCTGAAACTGTTGTTAGGATTGGTTGATTTTACACTTATATAACTATCACCCAATCACCTCAGAGCCAGACTGGACCTCTTCTGCAGCAGGGTGAGACTCATCAAGTGTTGTGGATTCGCTGCTGTGTTCTGACATACCTGAAAACCAAATAGGTTTGGCATGCATTAATTGATGTGAAAGGAGCTGGGCGCTGAACCTCACAGAAACTGAGGCAGGCTTTCAGAAAACACTTCTTTTACAAGTTCTGCTAAACCAAAGTGAAACCTCCTCCCTTTGATGCCTTCAGCTCTCCACAAATCTAACAGAGACTAGGAATACAATCTACTATAAATTTCCACTGCCAAAGCAACCTTCCCCCACACAGACGACTAAGCTTGCAACATAAAACCTAGGAAGTCAAACAAGGTTCTTCAGCTGATGTATACTGTCACCTGCAACAATACACTGACTACCATTGCAAAGATCGCTACTTTGTTTACATGAAACTTATCCAAATATTGCAAGTTTATATTGATGCTAAGCCACTGAAACCTACTAAGCTGCTCAGTCTGTTAAGCCTATTAGAAACAGAATCCCTTTCATTTTAGTCTCAAAAAGATCTCAGCTACGGAGGCAAAGAAAGGCAATGACACTGAGCACATGCACAAGAAATCAGCTCAGTGAGTGTAGTGATCATGGAAGATGAATTACATGCCTAATATAGCTTAAATAAGAAAAGTATCTAAATTCAATTTCAAATAGCTGGTACCTACAGGTGACACCACAATTCACCTAGCTGTTTGAGAGGAGCAGACAACCAATCATTAAAAATTAAACAGTCTGTCAGTATTGAGTATAATCACGCATGACTTCAGTTCATTAAGTATTGCACCATTTTATACATGTTCAGACAAATACCAGATTAAGAAAAATTATAAAGAGATCACTATTTGTATTTATATTGTATTTCAAATGCCTAAGCTATAAAAAATTCTAATTAAAGCAAATAATTAATAAGGTAAGCAGCTCGCATGACCAAAGCCTGAGAAACTGAATCACCTAAATCATCCAGACCATATTACATTGACTAACCTTTACTTTGAAAAAATCAAACGTAAAATAAGACACTTTCTCCAGAAAAACAATTCATTCAGAGATATCACTGAATGAAGTTGGATTTTTCTACTATCAATACAAAATTCCTTCACATATCTTTCTTAATTTTTCAAATTTCTTTTGAATATGAAAGACCATATGGCAGAGGTGCTGTTTTCCCACAGTCCTGTCCAAACTATGCTTGTGGTTGAAAACAACCTCTGCGCTTAACAGCTTATTTTTGAGTAGCTAAAAAAAGTCCATTATGGATTAGAAGAATACGTGAGATTTCCACGCTCTGCTGGTTAAACAAGAAGCTAAATTCATGTTGTAGTGCAGTCTTTGTTAAGGCAATCTGTTCCTCAGTTTTACCACGTTTGTGTTCCTAGAGTTATATTTTTATATCATATACAAACTTACATAGACCAGTAACGCTGTTTAAAACTATTAAGTGCTATAAGCAGTAAAAATAATTTTGATAGACTTAAGAACTTTTAATAACCTAATCTAGAGGCATGAACCATCTCACAAACCCATGGAGAAGACACTGCATAAAGACAATTAATTTTTTAAAATCCAAATTAATTCACTATTTGTGTTAATTCACCAATTTTGTTGTACAATATTCTTTTCCTGCAAGTAGTGCCAACACTTGCCAGCTCTATGATCCAGCTCTGCACGACCACACTGACCACCTTTAAAACATGAGAAGAGGAAAAAATGTAGATTAAAGGTGGCTTTCATAAAAAGTTCAATTGCACATTCTAATTTAACTACAGAATTTCCTGATGACTGCTTGCACAGCAAAAAAATAGGGAAATAAACACTGAATGCTGTATGCAAGGATGAAAACTTTCTACATCTTCACCAAGATTCAGAAGTGAAGACATTTATGTGAAATTGCAGCAATGATGGCATCTACACACATTTATCATTTATACTTAAGGTTCCATTACAGAAATGCCTACAGACTTTTGCATCTCCATAGTTCTTGCAGGTGCCAAAGTGCTGTTCTTTATCAGAGGTTGCTGATCCTCAGGACAGCATGAATTCTGCATTATCTAGTTGTTGGGGGTTTTTTCCCACTAAAGCAGCCCCAACTTTGGAATATGTTAGGTGACTGACTGGTGTACTAGAACATTTACTACTATTAGTTGCAATTACAACAACTCAGAGATGTTCTACTTGGGAAAAATATGCTTGATCCATATCCTGACATGAATTTAAGCCTGAAACCCTGTCTATATCACTCCCACCCTTCTGGATCTTCATTTTTCCCCCACTAGACCAGTTCTGCAAATCCACACAAATACTGCACCAGAGTAGAAGAGAGGACATAGACTAAAATCAAGCCCCCCATGGTGAATCTACCTTAATGCATATTAGATTACAGGTTCAGTCATTTTCAGTTTTGCTCACCGTAAATAAAACCACACAATTTCTAAGTCCTGGGGATTTATATATCACTTCTTCATCTGGCAAAGTAAAAAGCATAGCAAAGCAAAAACTTATAAACAACATAATAAGCTTACTCTAGGATAAAGACTTCAGAGACATTTAACCAATTATAATTAGTGGTTAGAAGAGCACACTTATGAACCTTTAATAAAAAAGGCAAATTCATATTTGCTTATTCATGCAAATATGAATTAAATGTCATCAACAATAAATTAGTTTTGAATAAGGAGTTTATTCTTCACATAGTTACATCACTTAGGTAAATGACTTCTGGTTTCAGAAATGAGAACCATGGGATTCTCAAGAACCAAATCTCCTCTTCTAAGCAGGATGCACTGGCTCCTTTGCTTGTTTTTTTTAATTAATTGCCAATAAGGCAAAAGCAAGATAGCTTCTGTCCAAATTAAGTTACTACACACTTTTATTGCTGTCTTATTACTCCAAGGCATAGATAAGCAATACAAGTTTTTGTAACACTGTAGAAAATCCACTAAAATAATGATTTTACACATATTTTCTTAATTTTGATTTCTAACTAAGAATACTTTCACTAATTCTTGTCAAGATAAAGATCAACTGCTTTTTTAAAAAGACTGTAAAGAACTGCATTAAACAGTTTCTGCTGCAATCACAGCATAGTTTCTTCTTAATGCTCTTGAATTCCCTGGCTGCTCCACTTACAAGATCTAATTATGACTGAGAGTTAGAAGACATGATGGAGATAAAGACCAGAGAACAAGGCTGCTACTAACTTCCACAACCCCATGATGGGTCAACCTGCCCCTGAACGCCTTAATGCTGTGCTCGTCTCCAGATTAGGTAAGCCACGGGCGCCCATTATGATTTCAACTTCTACCAAAACAGAAAGAAACAGTGAATCAAGATACTGCCTCAGCTTCCTAATGCTTCCAATCTGTTCTTCTGTGTTACTTAATCTTTACATTTTAACTGTGTGTGTGTACACACATATACACATAAACATATATATGATTCAGACATTTTTGGAGCTGCACCGATCAAGTAATGTCCTTTTCCAGCCCTGCAAAAGAACCCTTCTGTTGTCTTTTGTAGAGAGTCAACACTTACAGCCACCAACTGCAAAGTGATAACTCCTTGCTACTGGTGCCACCAAGCATAAGAAAGCACACATTAGACACTGAAACTTCATTCTGAACTGGACATTCAGGATGATCCCCCTTAGAGCCCTTCATACGAGATGAAAGGATATGAGGTGGTGCCAGTTAAAAATGACATATTAGAGATTTACTATAAGAAACACTGGAAGAACTGCGTCTAGTTTGTAAACAAACACCACACACAACACCTGCTTGTCACACAACACCACAGCGTTCCCATGCTTGAAGAGCAGCAATCAAAAGACAAATTGGCACACTTAAAACAGTAATTGCCAGGGTGTGGAGTAAGTCTCGGGGGCACGAAATTCACACAGCTTCCCTCTCTCTCTCGCGAACCAAGCTCAGGCTCTGCCCTCCCTGTCCGGGCGCCCAGTGCCCTCCGGAGCGGAGCCGTACGAGATGGGCAGACCCCCGCCCGCCCGCCCCCCCCGCCCGGGAGCCCCGCGGGATGACACGTCGGACGGGCCGGAGCGGGAGGCGCGGCCCGGCCCTCCCCGCCCGCCCCGAACGCGGGGCCCAGCGGCTGCCCCGGCCCGGCCCGGCCCTCACCTGCGGCGGCGCCGCGTCGGCCCCGGGGACGTCGTGCTGCGGGGGACGGCAGGGCGGGACGGAGACAGGGAGAGGGGGCAAGAAGCAGCCGGGCAGGGCGGCGCCGGCGGCCCCTCTCCGGCTTTATTTTCTTCCTTCTCCGGTGGCAGCAGGAGCCGGAAGCGCCGTGCCGGAAAGGGGAGGAGGGCGGCGGCCGCTCTGGGCTGCCGTGTCTATGGTCGCGGCCATGGCAACCGGGGGCAGCGCAGCCGGGGAGGCGGCTCCAGGCTCGCCAAGTGCCGTGCCCTGGGATCGGTGCGCCGTCCCGGAAAGCCAGCCGGCAGAGCAGGAGGGTGCGTGCCCGCGTGTGGATGTGGATGAGCGGACCTCGGTGCCATGGCAGAGGCGCTGCCCGAACACATGGTGAGGAGGAAAAAAAGCATATCTATCGAGGAGAAAATCGACATCATAAGCGCCGTGGAGAGTGGCAAGAAAAAGGCGGACATTGCAGCCAAGTATGGCATAAAGAAGAACTCCCTGTCTTCGATTATGAAGAATAAGGAAAAAGTTTTGGAAGCCTTTGAAACTTTGCGGTTTGATCCCAAAAGGAAAAGGCTGAGGACGGCTTTTTATGCCGACCTGGAGGAGGCACTGATGAAGTGGTACAGGATCGCGCAGTGCCTGAAGGTGCCGGTGAACGGTCCCATGCTGCGCCTCAAGGCGAATGATTTTGCCCAGAAGCTCGGACACAGTGATTTTAGGTGCAGCAATGGCTGGCTCGATCGTTTCAAGTCGAGATATGGTTTAGTTTTCAGAGCTCAGCCTGTAGAAGCAGCTGCAACTACTACAGCGGATGCTCCAACCCTTTGGTACCAGAATGTGCTTCCTTATTATTTAAATGATTATCAGCCAAAAAATGTGTTTCATATACAGGAGACTGGATTGTTGTATCAAATGTTACCACATAACACATTTGCATTTAAAGGGGAAAGTTGTTCTGTAGGTAAACTAAGCAAAGAGAGAATAACTGTAGTGGTGGGGACAAATATGGATGGCTCCGAGAAACTTCCACTGCTTGTTATAGGAAAAAACAAAAGTCCACGGTCTTTCAAAGATGTGAAGTCGCTTCCTGTGGATTATGAAGCAAATGACAGGGCGTGGATGACTCCAGAAGTGTTTGAACAGTGGATGCGTAAACTCGATGGCAGATTTCAAGCACAGCAGCGCCGAGTGGTTATTCTTGCTGATTCTCTCCCAGCTCACACAGAGGTAAAGAACCTGAAGTCTGTCAAATTAGTTTTCTTTCCTTCAGACTCCTCTTCATGTATAGCTGTGAAACAAGGGGCTATCAGAAGTCTGAAGGTTAAATACAGGCACTGTCTTATCAAGAGATTTGTTGATTGTGTAGAAGGTAATAAAGAGTTTATGCTGACCCTTCTTGATGCAATTGAGATGTTGTACCTGTGCTGGAGGGAAGTAACACCACAGACTATTGTAAAAAGTTATAATGGAGAAGAATTCAAATTAGAAACTGAGACAAATGGTAACAACAAACAGATTGAAAGTGATCTTGATTTGATTGCTCACGCACAAGCAGCTGGAGTGGAGTTTCCAGAAGGCTTATCTTTGGAGGAATATGCAGCTCTAGATGATGACTTGCTAACTTATGAAGTGCACATAAATAATGGAATGATGTGTGCCAAAGAAATTGTGTCAGATAAAGCCAGGACATTTTTTGGTGATGAAGATGAAGATGAGGATGAGAATGAAGGTGATCAATTTCAGGGAGCTGAACAGGTTTTGCCATCAAAAAACGAGGCTTTGAGCGCTTTAGATACCCTTCGGAAGTTTCTCAGAAGTCAAGACACGGATGATTGGCTTTATGATTCCCTAGTTGATTTGGAGAATTTTATTCAACATGTAGCAAGTAAATAAATATTTTAGCAAAGTGGGAAAGCATGTAATTAGAAAAAAATTAGATTATGTAAGTAAACAAAGGCAGTTTAATAACAAGGATTGCTGAAATGTTCTCTGGTGTGTTTTGCTCAGGTGACTAGATGTACATAACAAAAGAAATTTGAAATTATGGAAAAGGGCTGAAACTGAAATTTTACACAAAATTAGGAACAAATGACACAAATTTGGAGTGAGCCAAATCCTGAAACTAATAACTGTAGTAAGTATAGTGGAGGAAAAAGAAGTTCGGTGCAGTCAGGATAAACTCATGACCACTTGGAATTCTTTCTTCGGGAAGAGATTAGCACTTCTACGCATTAATAATTCCACTGGTGTCTTTGGTTTTTTGACGGTGCAGTAGTAAATATTTATCAGCTCGGTGCTTTTGATACATAAACAAGAAATTGGATAACACAGAAAATACATGCCTGAATTCTGAGAAGTAAGGGTTTTTTCAAATAAACATTTTTGTCCTTAGTCAAGAATTCTGGCCATCATTTATTCTTGCAGCAAGTGATGAACAGCGGAAAGTTACCACAGCTTTGGATGTGTTGTTTTGTTTTGTTTTGTTTTCTTAAAAGTGTTCGCATGTGGATACACACGAATGGCATAATCATTTATCCAAGAGTCAAAAGACAAACAAAGCTTTACTTGGGCTGTGAAGAGGTCAAAAAGGAAGGTCATTCTCTCCCTTTCAGCCTTTTCGGTACATGGATTTGATGTAGGTCTTCCTCTGCAACTCCATGTATTTCTACAGTAAATACAGAAAAAAGAATCAGTTTTTGCAGCATCTGCACTAAAACCCTCACTGAACTCTTGTTTTATTTACAATACTTGAAGACTTTGCTGTAGGATTCAATGCACTAATGTGGTTTGTCATTTTAAGTCCCATTAAGAAGAGTGCTGTTTGCACAAGTGCAGTATGAAGTTGAGTAAATTATTGTACATTTACACGTCTTCGAGTATGTGTTTCAGGCAATGTAATCATAGCAGAGCCAAAAACCAGAGTCTATATGAAATGCCCTGCTTGTGGCTTTTTTCAAAACCTGTTTTAAATCTTTTCTGTATCAGTTAAAATTTTTTTCAGAAGTTAGATATAATTGTTCTAATTTAGAGGAAGAATAAAATATTTTATAGAAGCCCTTTAGGAAGGCTGTGTAATAACGATCATATTATGGTGCCTATAATTAAACCATGGAAAAAAATCTCATGCTTATTTGATTCTTCACTTTTCAATAAATAGTTTGGCTAAAGCTTTGTTTACCTTTTTTTCTGGTGTAGGACATTTTATCAGTTTGTGAAAGCATTTGAGAAAATTGTTGGAAGACTGTGAAAATACCAGGGTGGTTTGGTGAGGAAATGCATATGGCTAAACTGTATGAATGTTTTACTAGAACCCCTACCAAAAAACCCACACAAACTTCTGGGGTTTTTTTGTTAAATACCTGATGTGAATTCCTTCCAAAGGATATTCTGACTAAATAGGAAATTTCTGTTGAAATCCCAATAAGTCCTACATGGAGATTTATAGATTCCGTGAAAGATCCCTCTGAATTAGCTCTTTTAACTATTTATTATTTTATTCTTTTCAAATACAAATGCAAAGTCTTTTAAATTAGAAAGGTGTGTGACATTTTGCTTGCTTAAATACTTCAGAACAAACTTGTGAAATGTACTTTCTATTTTGTCTAAGCTTATTTGAGACCTGCAGATAATTTTCCTATAGTAATCCTTTGATTTAAAATATGTTTCTTTGCAACAGCTTCTCCAGCTAAAAGCAAGTTTAGGAAAAAGTTTCTATTATCCATATAGTAAATATGTATATTTATTACGATGTGACTCCCTGTGGCCCTTATTGGCCCAAGTCCCAGATAAAGAGACCCTCTGTTTCCTTCTGAGAGAGTGAAGAGTGTGAAAATGTTGGATCTGAATGAGAAAGACTTGTGTATATAAGCAGCAAATCTTGGTTAACCAAGAGTTCAACCTACAGGAAGTGTAATCTTCACAAGAAGCAGCTTAGGAAATCAGGAGATGGGAAATAACGTTGTTAGCTGGTAATGAAGGAAGTAAATTACTGAGTGCTGTCATACTCATGACATGTAAACAACAGGAAGGATTTACTGTTTGACCTGGACTTTGAAGGTGAATTGTGGAACTTGCTTTAAAAAACATACAACCCATCAAAATCCTGTATCTTTAGAGAATAGACGACTTTTTCCTAGCCTCCTAGTTCATTCTGAGAAACTAAGTTAAAATGCACTCACTGAAACTGATTTTGTAGGTCACACACTTTATATAGCTTTCAAAATTATTTAGGAGCCCAAATATTTTTCTTCACTTGGATTTTGGTCACATTGATAGTCAGAGAACGTGAAAACCATTCTGAAGCTTGTTGCTGTTTTGGGTGTCTGTCACAGGGAAATGCGGACTCACAGATCTGAAATGCTAACGGCAAAAAAGGAAGTGGTGTGCTATGTAAATGTTAATCAATTTAGTGTACACAGTTTGAGCTAGAGATTTCTTTGCGTTGTCCGGGTAAACCACCCGGACACTGGCTTTTTGTGTCTGTAGTGGTTTCGTTTGGAGGGAGAGGAAGAATATTGCTCTAGACTACACCATATTTTAAAAGAAGAACCTTTTCTACAAAAGGCGGATTACTAAGGCCGTCATTTGCTATAATAATTCAGGTATTAGTGTGGACAACTGCATGCTTTTCTCTGTAGCTTTTTTGCTTATACCATGGTTAGACTGTGATTATGCTCTTCAGCATCAAGTCAGTGAGGTTGCTTTCAGTAACCCAAAGTGAATTCTAGAAGTATGAACTGAACATAGGAAGTTTTAAAAACATAACTGACTTCTAGACAAGGCCAAAATAGAAAAAATATTTGGAAGGTATGTTTGATATAATCAAAAGCATCCTCAGATTCATTTTTGAGACAAATAATGTGTAAAATTAAGTATATTCTTCAAAAATACATCTTTATTTGCAAATTTTAATAAATATTACACTGTGATTTTTTTTGTGTTTGCTGTTCTGAATACCTTTCAGATCTATAAAACTACATCTTCTTTTTAAACTGTTACTGAAAGGAAGGTTGCCCACCTCTAATGGTAAAAGGAAATTATTTAACAAGTTTTTACACTTCACCAGACACGTAGCTACAATCCATGTGAATTGTCAGCCTGCACACAGCTCATCCATTGGCTGTATCATTGTGGGGGTGAGCTCCAGAGCTGGTTTGCATCCTCCGCTTCTGCACTTGTGTTGCTTTGTGTGCCTGTGTAAGGCTTAGTTATAATCACCGGGGTAGTGACTCACCTGTCTGAGAAAGTTGTGGTCTGATGGGATGGTGCAACCTCACCCCAAATGCCAAATGAAATAACTCATAATCTGTTCTTTGAAAACGGTGAGACGTGGGATTGCTGAGGAGGGCGGCAAGTGGTCTCAGCTCTCCTGGCCTCTGCTCAGTAGTGAAGCTCAAAGAGCTCTACTCTCTGGAGCTGTTCTTACAAAACACTTGCAAATCAAGAATCACTTCAACGTGTGTTAACTAGTTGCTGGATTTCTCATCTGAAGTCATCCACTTCTCTTGAGAGATGTAGTGTGGGGCTGCCACTGTATCATCCATAGAAGGAGACAACCTATTGAAAGCACTGCTTCTGGCAACATTGGTGCCTCATACTTCTAACCTGTATAAATGATGCAAGATGATATTTTGCTATTCAGAATTCTATTTTTTTCCCCTTCCACCCTTTTTTATCCATTGCCTTCTATCATTTGATATTCATTTATATCCTACTAATTCTAGTGTTAATGTTAGGATTGCTGGCCCAACCTTCTGGCAAGCTGCTTTCCTCCTTACTCTCCCTATTTCTAATATTATCTTTGCAGGTGGTATTTTTGAATCGTCTCATGTGACAGCCAGTATCACCCTCTTGGTACACATCCTCGTGATCTCAGGCCCTAATTTCTCCATTGCTGTATTTAGTGGCCTTCCTGAATCCTTGCTCCATTTAGCTAAGAACATTGAGTATGTCCTTACTTTTTTTTTGTCTCTTCCTTTTGTAGAGGAGGATGAGCAGTGCTTTTTCTTGCAGTCTCCCAGGATGTCTGAGAGAACTAGTAACAAAACACGCATCTTTCTCTCCTTTCAGATGTCTCCATTTTTCTTTCTGTCAGTGGTCACTTCTGACCTGTTTGTTTGTTTGAGATTCTCAATTTGACATTTAGTATCTTTGTTTAAAACTTTCCTTTTTCTCTTTCATCTCTTACCCCTATCAGCCCATACAACATCCTTGCCACAGTTCACTTTTACATTTACATTTCTAAATATCATACCCTTACCATTAGCTCTTTAGATCTTTCTTCCTTTCTCTTTTACTGGTCCCAATTAATATTTAAACTACATTTCAAAATCCCTTTTCTTCCTTTCCATGATTTGGTGTCCAGTTCTCTTCTCCAAAAACAAATATTTAACTCTTTCTGGAGACACCCCAGTTTTTTACTTTCCATTTGATTTGGCATGTCTTCATGTTACCCTTACATCAAAGATTATGTAATGATTAAAAGTATGGGGGTTTTCCCTAATTTTACCTCTTTGCATTTTATTTTTTCTCCTATTCTTTATTCTTGGTCATTTCAAGTCTTTACTTTGTTTGAACCTTACTTTTACACTCCTGATCACCAGCATGAATTTTATTCATTTTTTTAAGCTTGTAAAAAAACAAACCCACAAACAAAACCTGCACAAAGATGGAGTTTGGGGCTGTTTACATAGCTAACTGTGTTACAGTGTCGCATAAAATAAGTCAGACTGAAAGCCAGCTCAGATATTAGCTAATTTCTATCAAGGTTTTTTATTTGAACTTACATTTTCTGTTGTTTATTTCCACGCTTTTCTATTTTAATAGTTGTTTGTGAGACTTGAGATGTTTGTGCCCTGTTTGGCTTTGTAGCCAGCCCATATGGCCTGAGATCATGGAGAAAGGCAGGTAGATCATAAAAAAGGAGAAGTTAAAAAGCAAAGTCTATTGAAATTCCCCTGCAGGGACTCTGGGAGAACTTGTAAGTCAGGTTAAGCAGAACTTATTATTCGAAATCAATATCCAGAGTCCTTTGTAAATCCATATCCATACACAAATTAGCCTCAGAAATTGTTACAAGAGGTAACACCACAGGTTCTCTGAATTTCAGATGGCAAGAAATGGCCACCCATAATTCAGCTCCACTTCAACATTAATTGACACAAGTTTTTTGGTTGTTTTTTTTCCTAGAGCAAAGTGAGACATGATCTATGTAAACTGTCACTGCACTGCTCAGGGCTCACCAATGTTCAGTAAGCAAACAGACATTTGCCTAGAGACAAGGCAAGGCTGAAACAGCATTTCTATGTAAGAAATGTTGAGTCTAGAAGTTGCAGTAGGAGTCAGATGAGCTTAAAAATTGGCATGGCTTTTCAGAAATTAGCTGAGAGACACTTTGTAGTACAGATTTGGGATATGAATTAGAAATACTTTTTACATGCTGTTCCCAACAACTTTTGAACTATTTTTGAAAAGCCAGCTGGACGGATATAAATTTTACTGCTCTGAGAAAAAATTACTATCAGCATTACACATACATTCAACAAATGGCACAGACAAACATAACAATTCAAATTCTAGTAGGGACAGTTCCCTGTGAGAGCTGAGGGTGACCAGACTTCAGTGCATTATATGTTGAGCGTTTGCAGAGAAGTAGGAGCAGATGTGGCAAATACCGTAGACATGCAACAGCAAGATAGAAATGCAAGTACAGGCAGACAGAGCTACAGGCTCTTGGCTCTGTTTGTTGAATGACTACAAAGAACCATCCAATGCCTCATCAGAAGGGCTTTCCCTATATGTCCCATTACTAACATAATTTTTTCAAAAAGCAACAGAAATTCTCTTATGAACCAAAAGAGACTTAAGATTTGATAATTTCCTGCCGAGTTGGCAATATTGTGCTTCATACTCTTGTAGCATGTAGAAGATGGCAGCAGAAACCCAAACTACAAAAGGCAAAGCTGAAGTAAATATGTAATAAAACTAGTAGTTTTTTGTGTCCCATTCTCACCTGGTCTTCACTCATCCCATGTAGAGTTAGGTGCCCTAAATCATACAACATCTTAAAAGATTTGTCAAAATCTAATTTGTTGCCAGCAACTTGCTCACTACAGCTAACAAGAAAGCATTTGACAAACTTAACGCTTGGATGGTTAGTAATCATTTTGCAATTTCGTGGTTAAATACCTTTAAAAATAACTCAATCATTCCCTAATGATATCCACACCATTATCTATACCCAGCCATAATGCACATGTGCAACTCCAACATGAATTCCTTGTGAAATGCCTGCATTCTCAGCGATGATCTGTTGAGGACTAATACTGGGATGGCAGATAGCATCCTGGACAATGAGATTATATGAAATTCACATTAATGTAAGCTTCCTAAGGGATTATTTAGAATGGAGATTAGGGAGCTTTATGAACTTAAAACTTCCTTTGGATTTCTTCATCCTCTCACTTCATCTCACAGTGGGGAGAACCCAGTTGCTTGCACTAGTGTAGCCTCGCAAAAGTGATAATTTTGAACAGGGTTCTTTGCAGGGAGCTCCGCTAGTGTTCACCAGCATATTGGTCTGCAACAATTAGGAAGAAATCTTGCAGTGTGTGGAAAACAGCCCTCACTCTCCAGCCAGCAGGAGGTTTAACTGCTGCTCTGCCTCCCAAGTGGGCTGAGCCAGTGTCTTACTAGGATGCTGACTCCTCAGGCAAGGCACATATTTGTGAGATTACATCTTCCAAAAGCAGTAATGCAGGTATTGGTTTGCTTTTAATCATTCATCCTGCACTCTTCTTCCTGTCTGCCATTCCATCTCCTCAGAGATTAAAAATTCTTTGTCAGCCTCCTGCCTGATCTGATTGGTCCCCCAGTTCAGAAACCTGGGATAGTTCTGTGCCATCCACCCGTCTGACTTACAGGCTTTAAATATAGCTCCTATTTTTGGCAGGCATATTTTTTTTTTGAGTACCAGATACTTGCATTCTCTAAAAGCATTTCCACTTCTACTGGGAAAAGAATGAGTTGTGAACCTCAAATGAACACCACATTTATCTCTGTGTGGAGATACAATGATAAGAATTTAAAGCATGTGGAGATCTGCCCTTATTGACATTCAAGGGGGTTGTAAACTCAGGCTATGTGAATTGACCTTTGCAGACATGGTAGAAGACATAAAACTTCACAATTAAGTACTCGAAATCAAAATGGATTAAGCGTGGAATTATACATTCACTTCCAGGAGGCTTCTGTTTCCTATAGGATCATATCTACAATTCTTTCCATCAGGAGTTTCTTTAGCCATTAGTTAGCATTGACCTCTTTTACTCTTGATGCATCTGCCTGCAACCAGACAAATGCCAGTTCTCACAGAATTTTAGTATTCCTTGCCTTGTACTTAAGCTACACCTAAGTATAAAAACTACCTTCTGACAGAAGATTAAGTTTCAGATAGCAGGATATAGGCAATGTAGCAGCCTGTCAGGCCCATGATCTTCTCACATCAGACCACATGGTGCACCCACACTTTGGCACAGGGATGTGACTGTGGCATGGACAGATATATAGAAAAGGAGCCATAAGAGTTAAGGGGTATCAGTCTGTGTACTGCTATTAGGTTATGTAATGGGGCTGCTAGCCCATACTGAAGTATGTGTCACAGATCTCTACAGCAACCAAAAAAATAGTGAAGGTATACCATCTTGCACTGCCATCACAGAGATTGGTCAAAATATGGATCCACCTGAAAATGAGCTACAGCATATCTAACCTAGCTCTTTGGAAAGGATTTCTCCTCATACCAGGCTCAAGCAGGAGGAAGAGGACATACACGGCTGCTTGTATTTTGTCAAACTCGATGTTTCTACAATTTACACAAATTTATGAGGTTTCACTCAGTGACCTTTTGGTAAGGTCAGCACTTGCACAACTTAATCAAATTCTTAAGGTTTCACTGAGTGACAGCTACATTGTAACTTAACTAGGAAGCATTCTATATATTCAGACAAGATGAAGTGAATGAACACATAAACTTACTTTAACCATATAATAAACTGGTAGAGTTTCTCACGGGGAATGAGAAAGGTATATCTCAGAGGGAGAGAAACAAAAACAACGTAGCAGAAAAGACATAAGGCAAAATTTATGATTTTTTTTTTCAGGCAGTCTTGGAGCACTACTGTCAGCTTTACCGAACTGAAAGTTAGATTTAAACACAGAGTGTTGAAAAGGCATGCTTTCTGTCACAAGTCCTTTCAGCATATCCCTCTCTGGGTTGTGACTAATGGCATTTTGGATGAGTATCATAAAAAATATTATCACTTGCATAAAGACCTAGTCAGTGATTAAATACACCACATGTTGGGACAGGGTACTGTTTTCAGAAAAATAAGAACTGTAGGTAAGACATACTCACATTGCTATATGAAAATGAAGGTGCAGGTATGTGATTTTCCAGGTTTCAACATGGTGTCTGAATGATTTCAGATCCTAGACAGAAGTGTATGAATTCCTGAAATAGCATCCTTGGCATTGCAAAGACTGTTGAAAACTTTTTGAGTAAGCAGTATGTGGGTTTAATACAATCACACTAACAAAGGGGTGTAACACATATTAGCATCTGTGATGGTCAAACCAGTAGTAATCATTAGTGCCATATAAAAAATGCTTTAATTGAATATTTCTTTAAAACAGATGTGTTTCAAAATGTTATGTAGTTCCATTTTCAAATAATCACCATTCCTTCATTCATTGCTCCAGTCCTAGTTTCCACTGGCATAGAGGAACAGGCAAAGTGCCTTCTAGAGCACCAACACCTTTCTATATGGGGGCCTGAAGTTAAAAAGGCATATGCTCGAAATGCAGACTGAAAGCCTCTCAACAGCCTTAATTTAGCCTCTTGCTTGCATACACATTATACATACAGACTCTCTACAGACCATCACACTTTTTTCCTTTAATATCTGTCTGGTTTTCAGTTGGATGCTGTTTCTTTGATTCTACTGGGACTATTTACATGCTTAAGTATGTGCTCAGGTTCTGCTGGAGAGCTGGACTAAGATAGGACTGGAGGCTGCTTCCATGATTTTAAACATTGGTTCATAATGCTAGACTAGAACTGGCCACTTGGGTTAGGTCCTTTAAAGATATTTAAATAACAAACTAAGAGAATATACTTTTTCAAAGTATCTAGGAACAAAATTTGGCCCAGATCAGATATCCATAATTTTAAAAGTAGTTAGTGCTCATTTGCATCTTTAGGTATCTAAGTAGCTTTAAAAAAGCTCATCTTTAATGTTTCTTTAGAGTCTGGACTCTATATTAACTATTTGTGAAGTTCACTAATTACAGTGAAAATATGCAAAGGAAAAGGAAGAAAACATTTTAATTCAAGAACAGAGAAAGGAATCTCGATGGGAGGATCAAATGAGAGCTGCCACAGCCTAAAAAAGTATCGAGCAACATTTAAGCAGAATTATTTTAGGACATCAAAGATTATCTTAGATACTTTAGGTGTGGCTGGAAAAATCTTAGTACTCACATTACAGTTTGGATGTACTGCTGGGTTTTTTTATGGTCTAGTATTACTGAAGGAATGTGCTTTTCAGATTTTGTTCTCTTCTTATGAATTGTTCACAGCTGAGAAAATATCTTCAGACAGTTAGCTGAAGCACCCTAGAAATAAAAATAAGAAGGGTTTAAAAAAATCTAGCTTACTTTCTCTCAAGTACCTTGTTTCTCTACTCTTCATTTCACTAAATGAGACAGATTCATGTTTGGTTTTCAATCCTTTACTTCATCAGTCTCACTTTTGTTATCTCTTTAAGAGAAATGTTTCAATTTCTATAGAGCGCTGTGGATTTTTTCAAGCCAGATCTTAAACTAACATTGACTTGAAAGTGACAACTAATGAGGAGGCACCTCCATATAAGACACACAGCACTGACATTTCATGCAAAGATAACTCACTGGCTGACAGCTTTTTTCCCTGTTTCAGTTGCTGACTGTGCGTCTCTCAAGTGTGCTGGCACATGAAAGCCTGTGGCCATCAAGGCTCTGATCCTTGTGCTAGACGCCCAGGTGATGTTTCTTCTCTCACTCCCAGGAGCAGTCACAGAGAATTTCCATTCTCTGAAGTGTTTTTCTAAATTGCACAGATACTCCTTTTAGCATTACAATTGTATTGTCTGACACGTATCTGACTGTATTGTAAGATTTGTTTACCTCCTGTGCCTGCACAGCCATGTCTGTACAAAACACCTTTATTCCTGATACTGGAGACTGCCGTCTGTTTCTGTTCTGAACAGGCATTTGAACCCACTCGTGTCCCACTGGGAGGCATCTCATTCCTCCTAGATTATTACACGGCTCTACTTTTGGAGTCCAGTTCTGGTCAGATGTCTTCCCCAACGGGGAGTGGAAGGGGACCCTCTCCTGTCAACAGCGTTGAAGCGCCCCGATGACCCACTTGTTCCTTTAATTAGTTATCTTGGACTGTTTTTATCAAATGTACACTTAATACAAGTTTGGGATACATTGCAAGCCTGCACTGAGACAAAGACCTCATGGAGTCCCACCTAAATTTCAAAGGTAGGAGTCTTGAAAGATTGTGGTGAAGGATTTTATGGGCAAAGCCCACACTAGGCTAGAGGGAGGCACTGCAGGGGACTACCTACATCAGCCAGTAATGCTGTGTTTCTCCAGTGGTCAAATGATGATTTTGCTGACCAGACATCGTCCTTTCAGAAATGCCGTTTCAGCTGTGGATTTTGCCTGAAGGAAAGCTAAGTTCCAAGGAGGAGGCATATTTCAAAACATTGCCAGTACTGCAGTAGAATGAAGGCATCACCTATTTTAGGATTTTATGCAAGTCACAAATAACTTAGGAAGCTTCTGCAATGTGCAAAATTTATAATCCATATACCACTTTCCAAGAAACGAGTAGAAATGAAGTGTCCAACTGCACTTCAGTATAAGTCTGCCAGCACCCTCTCTGCATTCTTTTTAATTTCAGATGAGATTTTCAATGTTAGAAGTCTCTCTTAGGAATCCATTTTTCATTTTGTTAAAGGAAACTTAGATACAAACATCTGGATATTTTCAAGTATAGTTTTGTATTTTATTTCTGTTCCTACTGAAGTATCCAAAATATTACAGCTGTGATTTAACAGCCTGTATTGTGTGGAAGGAGGAAAATAAAAAAAAAGGCAAAAGAAGATAATTACAAGTCCAGTTAAGCAAAGAGGTTCTTAAAGCTGGAAGGTACTTGTTTTTATGCTTTTATTGTCACTCTCATTTTAGATATTTTTATGATACCCAGTTAGAGACTATATCTCATTGTTCTAAGCATTGTTCTAATTTATACTGGTGGCATTGGTTTCAGAGAGATATAAACCTTTTTCTTAAGCACCTCTGTGGCTGAAATACAATGTAACTTGTCTTTTCAAATAATCTAGAATTGAGAGAGTTTGCTGGAAAGAGAGCTTTATCTTCTGCAACTCATGCAGGCAATGCTTGCTCTGAAACAAGTACAACCATGGATGAGGTTCCAAATCCACATGAGGTTTCTACACAAGAATGCTGTGGATTTTAGCCTCAATTCTGCAAATCTTACTTAGCTCAGCATCCCACAGAAGCACCATTGCAGCCAGGGCTCTGCCTGGCTTGAGCAGATCCCCGCGGGCTTTGCACATTCTCCTTTGCTTTGATGATAATTTGTTTATTTATTTATTTTAATGTTGCAGTGAATTGCAGTACAGTTCTATTTCCCATTCTTTCACAGTGACTTGTGGGAAAAATTTATCTGTCCTTTCCCAACGTATGTCAGAGGCAGAAATAAGTCATTAAGGGACTAGCAGAACTTGGCTGGCTCTAGCCCTTACCTGCACTTCAGAGCAGGTGGATTAGCTGCCAACGTCCACAGCAGACAAGCTGCAATAGCAGAGGTTTGTAATATAAGCCCTATAACTAACTCTAAACTTGCCACATGAGTTGCAAAAGTTTAGCTGTTGTTGTTTTCATAGGAAAAAGGAACAAGAAGAGCATGAGTCAAGTGGCTGCAGCATTACAATACATTTCTGTTTTTCTGAAAATGTCCAGCTAGTGACATCCTGTAATCTCAGTGATGTAAATCCTTCTCTGATTAGGGATGAACATTAGCAAAGAGCCTAGCTAGGTGTTCAGAAATGCCCTTTATAATATAAAAACCAATGAAACAGTAACATCAAACATGCACAGAATGTTTCCAGCTGTGTAACACACATTGAAAGCACCCAGGAAACTTAGTTGTTTGACCTGTGAAAAGACATTCCTTTTTGCTAAAGTGCATTTTGAATCCTAGTAAATGCACTAAGGCCTATGAAATTAGCAGATACAATCTACCTCTCTTACAAAATCAGCTGACTGAAGCCACCTAGGTTTCCAAATACATAGTTAGTTTTGCAGCAAGGCTGTCACTACAGTTTTTGGTTTCTGCATTTCTGCGATTAAGAGAGATGCATGAGGCTGAGGAATACAACCAAGGCAAAGGCTGCCAACCTTACTTCCCAGGCAGGCAAAAGGGAGCCTGCTGGGAGTGCTTCAGGGGAGCATGATCCTGATGCTACTGGGGATGGACCATGTAACTGCCCTTGCTTGACAGTCTGATTTGTCAGCATCCAAAATACCTCAATCCTCTTTCTCTACACTTTTTTTAAATTAAAATAGTCAAATGTGTGCCAAACTGCCTCTGTATCACTCTGAAATCTTAATTAAAATGTAATGTGGCCAAGAGTCACTTTCCCGTACTTGTATTTGCCTTAGAAATAATAATGGTGTACATACCACTGGGTGTCTGTCTTGTTCTCAAGGGGCCACAAGAAGTTGTTAGCCAAACGTGAGTCAAAAATAGTTGATGGGAATCTGTGTGGAAAAATGCTACAAGCTATGTAGAAAGACTAGAAGGGAAAAGAGGGAAAGATATAGTCTTTTGCACTAGAAATATGAGATAAAATGCAGCAAACAGAAGTCCTTTTCTCTTTTCTCTTCCAGTTTCTCTGTCTAGGTTTTATGTTTTAGTAAGGGATGAGTGAGCTGGTCTAAGTCTACAGAATGGGGCAAATATGCCAAATATGCAGGGCAGGATAAATCAGGGAAGCATGTTTGCAATCCGTGTGGTATTAGAAAGACCAAAAGTGGCAAACCTGGGAAGGAGATGGGGAAGAAATGGAAAGGAGTATAGCACATCCTTTATACATTAAAGCAACAAAAATACTGTGAAAAGGTATTATTTTGTCTCCTATTGTCTGAAGTTCAAGAAAAGCTGAGGATGACCAATAGTAAAACAGCTTTAGAACCTGAGTCTAGGCTCATGAAAACACAGACAGGCTTTGCCCATGCTGGCCACTGGCCCATTACCGGTTTTCCTATCGCGGACTAGACAAATCCATTGCACCTGGACAAATCCTATGAGCACATAGGAGATGCCTGGTAGCCTCAATTTCTTGACTTCCATAATTCAAACTATCTCAATTAGTCATTATTATTAATCCTTGGAGTTTCTGTCCCTTTTTAACAGAAAAATCTTAAAAGCGTTGGTAAGTCTCACCTCTGACACTTCTGTCCGGTAAGTGTTATTAGGTATGACTGACATCATATTACACAATATCTCCTAGAAAAATTTAATTGGTCAGTCAGTGTCTTCAAAACTCAGAGCTCCTCTTTATCTTCTTGTAGCTGCAATATTGTAACTTTGCTGTTTTCCCACACTGTTTTATGAAGTGCATAAACGTACATTGCCAATATTAAGCAACTAGTTAGTTAACAAACTCCTTCAAGTGTTTTAAATCTGTCAACAAACTGGTCATTAAATGAATCACTGACCAATTTCTCAGCTACTCAAGCTAAGAAAACTATAACTGATGACTTATGAAAGCATCAGTGTGTTAAAAAAAATTATTAGCTGGAGAAACAGAGCAGCAATTGGTCACTTCCCACCAATCTGAACAGAAAGATTCACCAATGCCAGCTTCAACAAATTCACCAGAAATCAGATTTAGACACAGAGTGATGTCTAGGGGAAGTACCATGAAGCTCCTGCACAGGCACCATTCATGCCTTCTTCCTTAGTTTATTACCGGGAAATTTTATGCAAGTATTTAAAATGGCTCATACCTGTGATGCAGTAAAATCTGGAGCTCAGGCTCTACTGGACTCAGAAGGATGAGTTTTAGATCTATAACTTATTTGTACAGCGGAGCAAACCAAACCTATGGTCCAACCACCCTCCCTGCTTGAAGACAAGTATGGTTTAGATCCGAGTCCAGTTCCTGGCCCTGGATAGGCCCACCCCATATAGCAAGAAGGTTGAAAATGTTGGGTTTAGTGTTGAGCTTGTCCATTGCTCCTACCTAGTGACAGGCAATACGTGGAAGCCCCTGGTCAGCCCTCATGTGTTTCTGAGTGTGTGGACAGTGGTGGGGTTGTGGGGACAGAGGACAGGGCATTGTTGGGGGGCATCAGGTGTGCCCCATGGTCTGCACACCCAGACAGAGACTGCCAGGGGGAGTGAAAATCAAGATGAATAAGGAAGGGAGGCAGGATTACCTGCCTCTCTCCACTCCATCAACTGTGACTGTGGACCCCCATGCCAGGCAGTGCACCCTTGTGGGGCCTGAGACCTTCTGTCTCCTGTCATCTATAGCCATTGTCACACCAGTGTCTAAGCACTTTCCAGCCAAGCCACCTGCTCCTAACAAAAAAAATGATATGGTTTTCTGCTTTGTCCTGTTCCTTGGTACAAATCAGTCCAGAATACCAGTTACAGGCTGCTAAGAGAGCTAGCAATTCATCTCATTTGCTAGAGACAACCCACTTGGGGTTGCTTTTTAGGGTCATAAATGCACTCAGTGTCCTACCATGCTTGAAAAGCAAGGCAAGAGAGGAGGCACTTTTGAAATTTGCTTGCTCAACCACCTTGAAAAGTGACATAAAACCTTCCCACTAACTCACAACAGTGAAATTTTGTGTCTGATTTGTATTTGTGTGATGTCTGTCCCTGTGGTGCTGTGTGTAGATGAAGATAGAAGGTAGTAAACTCGGGTGTGAAAGGAGTGGAGGAGAGCAGGAGCTCTCTCATCTACAGAATAAAGGTGCTTCAGCCAAGTTCGTGCTTGAAGTGCAACTTCTGGTTTTTTTTTCTTCTTTTTCTTTTGCAATCATTGCTTGCTTGACAGGCCCAGACGGAATTACATCACTTCCTAAAACCCATCAAAGAGAGTCCATCTCCTGAAGAAATGCAGCTCAGATGCACCTCGGCAGGAAGCAGGAAATGTAGATGTTTGGGTGCAGCAGGGAGGCTGACGGAGCGCCCCTCAGGTGGGAGCACTGCCAGGGCAGCATGCGAAACCCCAGCTTTATCACTCTGCTCTCTGCCCTGTCGCTGGCTGGAGGATCTTTTGGAAATGGTGAGTAAAAAAGCGCCTTTTGCCTGCCGAGGTGGGACTGCGTTTTATGCCTGCAGCGATGGGACCGAGTTGGAGGGCAACACCCTCCAAGCTAAGCACCGGGAGAAGATCTGTGGGGACTTGCTCTCTGCTGCTTTTTGCTTTGTTTACCCTCTCTGCTTAAAGCTGCCTCTCTTCTTTGAAGGTTTGATTTTTTCTTGTTAGACCTAACCCCAAACAGCAGCAATCTAATCCTACAATTCCTATGCTTCCTAAATTGCAGTTGTGGAGGGAATTGGAGTTTCCATGTTGAGCCACCAGGCATTTAGCTTCTAATTTTAGTTATTTGTTGAAATTTTTAAATCCCACACCCAATACTACCAGCATTTAACAGTAAAGTTAAAGACAGAGCACTGCTTCCATTCAAAAACTGACTGCCAATTTCCGCAGTCCCAGTGCACTGAAACTGGTTTAACAAAAGAACAGCCGGTTCCGGAGACAAATATTTTGAATTCTCAGCTGCAGAACGAAGTGTCCGGCAGCATGGATTTAGGTCCTGACCTTCTGAAGGGAAGAACCACGAGTGAAAAAGCCACTTGCGACAAAATGCTGGGTGGTGCTGGGCTTGTAGAGGCTCTCGTTGGTTCCACTGGCATTTTGGCAGCCAGGGACTGCACATGACAGGCAGGTCTTTTAGTGAAACCTTGACAGGTGGTGCTTACAAGCCTTTCAGTGTCAAACAAATCCCTGTCAAAGTGCCTCAGTATGGACTAGAAGTGTTTGCTGCCTCTCAGCCATCACTGGACTTCTTAAGGTTTTAAAATGCATTTCTGTAATAGGTGGTTCAGTGTGGCTACTTTTCCCCTGAAAAACCAGTACTATAAGCAGGGTGTAAAGCTAGGCTGCAGATTCCCCGTGTGCTGCTGAGCTGCTTGCGCTTAGGAGTCTTGCTCAGCTGTAAGAGTGAGCTAAGTGAGGTATAAAATGGTTTGGTCTTCATTGTGTTACTACAGCTCTGCTGCATTGCAGACACATCAGGAAAATATGCTGCAAGCATTGAACATACATAGCTCAGAACCAAAGAGGTCAGAGGAACAAAAATCCTGCCATGGGCAGAGCAAAACAGAGGTCTCAGGGAAAAGGAGGAGCACAATGCAGGAGACACAGTGTGATCAGGCTCCTGCTTCCTTAGCTCATGTGCAGGGTACTGATCAATACTATTTCATCACCACCTCCCCAGGGTGGAGGGGTACCTTAGTCCCCAGTCCCCTCAGCCTCCCTGCCCTTCTTTGCCACGGGCATTAAAGACTGCTTGAAGCACCAGGCAGATGTCAGGTGCCCCAGCCCACACCCTGCCTGCCTTCAGAGGCTTCCTATCAGTACTTCCCCCTTTAAATTCTGGTTATTTTTGGAATGGTTTCTCTTCAGGAGTGAGTCAGTCCTGTCAGAACCCTCCCCAGGCCCCATCAGCCCTGACTTTCTGGAGCCAGCCTGCAGCAGCTGGGGAAGGGGAGGAGAACACTCACCTTTGCTCCCCATACAAAGGCATCTTTTGCTTATGCAGTCAGCCCCAAAATGTACTGGGGGAGTACTCTGACTGTAAGGGTGGGAGGTGGGAGGGGGAAGTTGTGAACTTGGGCCTTCGGGGGAAATTGAACCGGTGGGGGAAAAGTTTTTGTAGGGCTTAGGTACCCCAGAGGCACTGGTGGGTCAAGAGCCCCTCCACTGAGGGCAGCCTCCCAGGGAGATCCTTTGCTTTCAATCCTCCTTGTTCACAGATCAACAGGGCAGGAATTGTAAGGGAACTTTACAATTTACCAGACACAGTCCTCCCCTTTAAAGTGGTCTGCTGTCTAAATACCATTTACAAAATAGGCAAACAGAATATGATTAAATCTTGCAGCATAGACAGATTAAAGCCTTTATAAATCCTATTCCCATACCATGCCAGAGCCTTGTTAGCCTTGCCACTTGGATTATGCTTTATGGATGGTTTTCTCCTGTCTGTGCTACAATTACTCTAATCCCGTATCTCTAAGCACATTCCTGAGGTCTCAGCTCTGGGTGCTGGCCTTCTCATGACTCCATACTGAAGGAACATCAGGATTTGCACCAGTTCTCTTTCCCTGGCTTTAATGCAGCCAGAAAGCCCTACAGGTGACAGTGGCTCTCTCTACTGTAGGTGATGGTGCTCACTGGCTCAGCCTTGCAACAGCCCTAAACACCTACCTAGGTATGTGTGCTGACCCTAGTAACAAGCATTTAGACCCCCCACTATAGATTATAGGAACAGGCTCTGACCCCACAGTCATTTCTCAGGGTATGCCATCTCCCACCGTGTTCAGTGAAACACAGGGGAAATTGCAGCATACGCAGCCTGACATGGGGAGCAAGAAAATGTGTGAGAGAGAGGAACAGTAAAACCCATAAGATCACGAAGTTGAAGACTGTGTCTATTGTGCTATTGTTTTGAGCTGTCATTCAAAGAAACATTGCTATTCAGCAGTTTGTACCATGAGCACAGGCAGCGACTCTCGCCTTGGCAGAGAAGTGCCTTTCAGGTTAAGTCCCTAAAAAGCCAAGATCTCTCAGACAGGGATAGTTTTGACCTATTTCCTCCTAGAGTAATGAACTCAAGAATAGGTTTGAACCCGTTAGAGTCACCTGTTGAAATTTTCTGTAAAAGCAAAAATATAAGAAACGAGGATTTGCTACATACTGTCTTCCCAAAGTGCAGTCCTCTAAAAAGCAGATGAAAAATCCTTTCTACCGAACACATCACTTCTTCCTACATATTTACTCCCATTCCTCCCTTTTATCCGCATACACAAACATTCACTGTGTTTTATTCAAGTGCTTCAGGGGCATTTCAGAAAATCTCTCATTTACATCAGCAAGACTCTATACTAAATTTCAGTCAGTAGCACCAGTCTCTTTTCCATCACAAGATTTTATGATAGCTGGAAAGCCTCCAGAGCTTTTGAATCTTTAATTTCAGAGTCCTCCTGAGAGCAAGGAGCACTAAAAGATTTACATCACAGTGAGGTTGCATGGGTATCACAGATGTAGCACTAGAAGGCCACGAGACTAAGTAGAAGCAACTAAATGCATACATTGGTCTGGAAAACCTTTAGTACTGGGGATGAGAAATGACACTAAGACGCGTGCCTGAATTTGCAATATCAGCAGTTAGTGCAGCACTTCAGCTGGATGAAAATACAGTGAGGAAAAGCAGTTTCCATCATCTATAAATGAGCTTAAACAGTTGTTTCCTCTTTCAGGTTATACCTAGATAACGCTTTCTAAGCACCTCGTTTTAATAGGATCTTGTCTGCAGATTAGCCATCCTGAAATGCCTGTGCTCCCTCATCAGAACAGCATACGCACCCAACAGCTTGCCTGCAGGCTTTTAAGGATTCCTCTTCCAGCCAGACTGACAGGCAAGACCTGCCTCAACAGGCATCTGGGCAAGCCCTGGCCGTGGCAAGGAACAGCCCTTCTTACAGCAATCTGAAATGTGGGAGAGGAACAGTGCAGGGATGAGCCAAGCAGTATGGGAGAGGATCACACAGATCATGTGGAGTGGTATGACTATACCAATAGAAGGAATATGTGTGTAGAGCAGAGTGATATAGGATGTGGTAACTTCATACCAGCTTTATAGCCTTTTCTTGTTCTGTCATCTTCTCGTGGGTATTCCTTTCACTGCATTTTTATAGCTTATGGGACAAAAATTTTCCTTTCAAACTAGTAAGCCTGGCTATCCCAGTGATACAGCTCTTGCTTTCTTTCTACCCCATTCCTTTTTCCTCTGTAAGTAGATACCATAGTGTAATTTGAAAAATTCCCTTCAGAGACCCCAGTCCTTGAGTCTGATGGTAAGGCGGCAGGTTCGGTTTTACAACAGAACCAAATGTGCTGACTGATGGCTATTTTCCTTTGCTATTTTCCTTTGCCTTGCATCCAACTGAATTCAGAAACCTGTTTGCCTGCTTACTTAATCAGGAAGCTCATATCATCTCCTCTGAGTGCTGCAGCACAAACCTCAGAGGAAGAAATGCTGCAACAACAGAAGTGTTGTTTGTTTGACTGAGATGTGTTATTTTGGACTCCAATCTGTAAAACCACTTGGTACATTCAACTCCCTCTGTCTCCCATAAAAAGCAGGTTTGAGAGCACCTCCAAAACTCAAGCAAAGACAATCAGTGATCCGAGCATATTTTTGAAGTAGAGAATACTGAATAACACCTTATACCATGGTATCTATATATAGGGACATAGCTTTTTCAAAATTTTTAAGAACTGTTAATTGAACCTTTTCTGAGATGCTGCTAGTGGTTGCTCAGACATTTTGGTCCCTTGAGGACTAGATCCTCTAATACCTCGATGGTGGAAACCTGAGGACTTCTTAACTTCCGGCTCCAGCTTCTTAGCTTCCAGTTCCAGCTGTGCCCACATCCCCATCAGGGTGGGATGCAGGTGCGTGCCAGCCCCTCTTCCTTGAAAGCATGGAAAGTGACAATAAGGGCTGGTCTGAAGCTGTGGTGTGTTCCCATCCACTTCCCTCAACATGGGAAGAAGTCACCAGCATTTATGCCCCAGGCAGTTCAGACAAAAGTGAAGCTGACGCAGTTGTTGTATGAGCACATGCTCCTTGGACAAGCTGTGCAGAGGGATGAGTATGGATGTTGGACTGCAGCCAACAGCATGAGGCTTAGCTCAGCAAGAGAAAGGGCATGGGCTTTGCAAAGTCAAGAAGATATGTACATGACCGTATGTGACTTGCTGCTTGTTGCACTCCTTTGGCCTTGGTTTTCCATCCTGATATGTTATGTTATGTTATGGTCAGATTCCCATTTGCAGGGAGGCAATAGATATCTGCAAGATGAAACCCCAGCAGAGCTAACAAGACAGTTCATGGTATGAATTACCACTGCACATCTGGCACAGAGAAAACGTTTGAATAGCATCTCACAAAATCACCAGCTTTCAGATGCGATTCTGCCCTGCTCCAAACCTTGCAACACCCAGCTTTCATTCACCCTACAAAACAGCCACTGGGGTCAGCTGCAACACAGCCCACTTGCTATTTTGAGCACTTCAAACTGAAACACTGTGAAAAACAGCAGCTCTCTTGAGGCCGGCCACGTGGGTCTCATGGGGCCTGGGCAGTTGGCTGCGGCAAGCCCTGCAGCTGCTCGGGAGGCCTCAGCCTGTCTCTGCCTGCCAAACTGGAGGTACAAATACTTCCATGGTGCAAGCCACCAGGCCAACCCTGGTGCAGGTTGTGCTCTCCTGCTGTGTAAAAAGTGTGATGTATGGGTGGCCTGAGAGTGAGAGCAACTGCCATGTGACAGGTAGGGCATCCCTCTGGTCCGAGCTCTGGTCCTCAGAGGTGACAGAGGAGAGAGAGATGTCGAGGCAGCAGGTAAAACAGGAAACAAGAGCAATATCCTTGCAAGAACATTCTGCAATTGGGTGCCCTTCTGCTGAAAGACGTATTTAATTCACTCAGAGAAAAGATCTCTGTAAGAGGAAATGGTATTCCCGGAGAGATGCTGTTTTGTCCCTGGAATTATGCAAAGTGAACAAAAGTACGTGGCAGCAAGGTCACTCCCTCTGATTTGCCATTTTCTTTGCCTAGAGACTAGAAAAGGTAATTCTATTTCACACAGAGAAAAATGATTTTAAATCTGCTTCATAGCTCAAAAACAGGAAAAATATCAAAGGTACTGGAAAAGTCTCGGAAATCAAGCACAGCATACTCTGCAGCTGAAGCTTTAGCACTTCAGTTAATGAGGTGTGACTGTTTGCTTTGCTTTAAAGCCACACCATGCTTTAGACATTTGAAAAATCCATTTTAACCCTAAGCGTAAACGAGAAACAAAGTATGTTCTCCACACCCTTTCACATTCATACTATTTTAAGCAACAGGCTTGTCCCTCTCAATATATCAAATGTGTCAGGCAATGGGTTTCAAGGACGATGGCTAAAGGAAGAAAATGAGCAAGGTCATTGAAGAGGTTCAGTGAGGCTGTAGTGGGCCATCAGCTCTGCCAGTGGCACGGTCTATCACTCCACAGTCTGTGGCACAGATATCTCTAGTGCTACCTGTCTGCTCTGCACAGCAGCAATCCAAATGGAGTCTCTGCAGGCACTAGAAACTATAAACTTGGGAAAGAAAAGACAAATGGCCAAAATAATAAGGGAGAGAAGCTCTCCTTCCTGTTCTCTGCGATAGGATTAAGGACTGCTAGCAGATCAGGGAAAGGGGTGGAGGAGCACACACATAAGGGGTCATTACCTGCAAGGGAGGCAGAGATAGTGTTTTGCTCTTGATTGAAATAATAAATATAGAAGAAAGCAACAGAGAGACTATAGATAAAAAGTGCTTTGCGACTAAAGAGCTATCATTTTCATTGTCCTATTGTGGTGCAGTAGTCTGGTGACCTTCACAGTACTAAACACTATATACAAGTATTAGGTATTCTTTATTAAGTATTCAAATTCTTTCCTAGTTTTTAGGAAAGAATAAACAATCAGGTGTCTGTGTGATATGCACAGCATAAAAATCTAGATAGAACACTGCTGTCACACTCAAATAATTTTATTCATGTGAAACTGAAATACAGTCTCATTAAATACTCATCTCTTCGAGACAAATCTGATGGGAGAGAGGAGATGCTGCAGAGTGGATTAAGCAAGAGATAGCGCTCTAATCCCAGTTTTCCTTTCTCACTTGGCGTCCCTTGGAAGGACAGCATCCCTGTCCTTCTGATTTCTCATTTGTAAAATGGAGATGATAACTGCTCATCTCTCAGGGCCATTATGAAGATTAATGTGTTTACAGAAGCATTTAAAATGCTAAGTACTTTTGGTTCCAGTCCTGTGAGATTGGAAATGCCAGCATTGAGGTGCTGAAAACCTTAAGCTCTTGCTAACTCTAGTGGAAACTATGGCTGCCCAGCACTTTACAAGAATGAGGAGAAACATGTCATTGCGAGTCATGAAATCCCATACTGCTTTATTGCATAAAATGAGACCTGCACTGTGCCAGCGTTGTATGTGAAAGGGCAGATAACACAAAAACCCCATCATTTAATTTCATGCTAAGAAAATTATTGAAGGCTTTGCATTAGGAAGCATGCTATCGTAATATATCTAAGGACTGATTCCTGCCCATAACATGCTATACTTGTTTTAAGCTTTACACTCTGTGACAGTCAGTACAGATTCTTAATCAGCCTCAAAAAACCACTTGTTTCACTATTACCAATATAGCAAATTTTAGCCACTTGCAAAGTGCATGATAAATTAAACCAAAACCAAAACTGAGGTTCAAAACCCCCAGTCTTAGCATTTATGAGGAATAATCAGCATTAATGCTTTACCATATGCTCCTTCAGCCAGCCTGTAGGATCAGACAGAGGAACAGTTAATTGCATCTGTACCCAGTAACGTCCCTGTGTTACTACCACCTCTTCTAGCCCAGGCATAAGTGGAAGTCAGCAGCTTCTGCATCCTTCAGACTTCCTTTCACCAATTCTGTTTTTCACAGTGAGACAAACTTAAGAAATTTGAGAAAGGCACAGAAACAGGGAGATGCATGAACCAAAGGAATTAGTGAACCAGGGATAATGGTCTCCCTGAAGGGAGTACTTAACTCCTTTGGTAAGGGGAGGGATGTATGTGCCAAGACTGAGGAGCAAAACAGGCTAGTGTGGTTTACTGAGAAGCAAAATAATTTTATGTGTGAGCAAGGCCGGATGTCAACCTGCAGGAAAAGAAGTCTGTTTGTGCAAGGCAGCTTTGTACAGACAGACCACGCATGCTGACTTGTCCCAGTAAAAGCCAGCTGAAGAACACGGTCACAACTGGTAAGATTTTGTGATAAATTTGTGATCTAATTTTACATCTGATGCCCAAGACTTCAAATCTGTGTGTATGGGGCATCTGCTAATTTTTTAAAGACGTGAAATAGAAAGTACTAAAGCTGTACACTGTGACTCACTGATAATACTAATGAAACCCAGAAAACGTTAAGTTGTCCTCCTATATTTGACAGGCCCTGAAAATGATGGATCAGGAGATGGACCATCGACATTACCCACTGTTACAGTAACATCTCATCCTGCTACGGGTTCTTCGACCGTGAATGACCATGAGACAGTACTTGTCGCGGCAAGCGCTACTGAAAGCAGCTTTGAAACAGAAAGTACTTCAAGTAGTGAGCCGAATGCTGTGAATGATGAAGACACCCTAGAAGCAGCAGAACAGTCTATCTTGTTATATGTTGTCCCTGTCGTGCTGCTGGTCCTGCTGATTTTATTGATCACATTTTTCGTAATACATCATAGAAGGAAAAAGTCTAAGCAAGGTAAATTTGTCTTCTTGTGCATCAAAAGAATATTTTTAGGATGTGCTCAACATTAACAAAATGTTATTTGGAGGCCCGTGATGCCACATTTAGGATGTTCTTCTCTGACTGTAGTTGCATGTTTGACAGATTAGGAGAAGGATCCTCCTTGGTAGCAGTACTTGGGCACGCACCTCTACTTGGGCAGGAGCTAATTCTCCTTCTTCGTGCCTCCTGCTCATGCTGCACACCCATGGGAGCCGTGGCACTGAGCTCCAGCTCCTGGCAATGCTGAGAACACTTAGGGATGTAACTGTGTGGCTGCAAATGCTTATTCTCCCTTTATGCTCAATAACTTCATGCAAAGTGAAATTAATGCTTCTATTGCCTTTTTAAGGGTTTTCACATTTCCACCACTGTGCTCGAGGATTCACTCAAGGTAAAGTTGCTTGGAGCTTCAATAAAATAAGAACAATTGTTCCATTTTAAGGAACAATTTTCAGGGATCCCAATCCTATAGGACAGTGGCTGCTATGAAAACATCACAGTAAATGAGCTAGGAATGCCATGGTCAGAGTGCCCTGGGTGCTGTGGTAGGGTGAGCAGTGCTTCAGGAAGGTGCCTTCATCTCTTAGCAAAGAAAGTGGTAACTTGGAGTGTCAAGCCACAGAAAACAAACTGAAGTGTCATATTAAAACCACGCATCTGGTGAGTGAAGTCCTGAAATGGTTGTATCTGTGTCTCTACAGAGCCAGAGCGCAGCTGTAAAGTTCCTCAGCCTGCAGGCAGTTCAACACATTCAACACAGATTTTGAGTAAATTTTTCAGGGTGTTTTTAGGCTGCATTTGCCTTATCACTGCATCTCCCTCTAAAGAACTGAATTCACAACCAGGTATCTAGTTGCCTACCTGTTTCTAGATGATTTGAGGTGCAGATACACTCTTCAGAGAGATAGGAAATGTGGCACCTTTCAGGAACACAATCCTGGGTTCTCTTGCCCTGTGTCTACTGCTTGGAGCTAGGAGCTTGGAGCATCCTCAAGGCTTGGGCAGATGGCTCTGTAGTTTTTGTGTGGCCCTGCAGTCAGGAAATGCAGGAGTACTGGAACAACTGGGAGGTATCAGCACCCATCGGCAAAAATGAATTAAAAATAAGCTAATTTAAGACAGGCTTTTCAGTCACTCGATTCCTGGAGGGAAAGTTATTTATCTCCTACACCATTTTCTCCCCCATTTTTACTTTGTCTTGGGATCATAAGTAGCTTTAGATCCCTTTTGACATCAGCTTCATTTGCCTGACTGAGATTTAATCTGCCATGCAAGTCCAACCCCCTCTTCTCTCCATGAGTACCTCCCAGAGTCTCCAGACAGAGCTGGATTGCCTGTGTGTAATCTGTAGAAAAATGTCCCAATGCCTCCCGTAAACAGTATATTTGCAGAAGTGGTTCCTTTTCAGGATACCATTTCCCTCATGACATCTGTTTTGCTCAGGGAAGCGTGCATCTGCCCTGTCCCACCCACTGCAGCACTGACACTTGGCTTCCTCCCAGCATGGCTGAGCTAATAATGAGCTGCTAGTGTGTTCAAGATTAAAAATAATAGCTTCCTCTGAAAATTACAAACAGGATGAGATATTTTGTCTTTCATCTACAATTTAGTTTTCATGCCTTTTGAAAATGCAACCTGTTTTACCTGACACTATCCAAGGCTTGCTTGCCTTTTCTGGACCTTGTATATACAAAGAGGTATGTATCATGCAGAACTATGAACACCAACTTTCTTCTTTTCCAGATGAGCTGGGAAGTGAAAATGTGAAAAGGTAAATTTTATGAATATCTCTCTTTTTATTTTTTTTTTAATTTTATTCTAACAGGATATTATGATTTTTGTTGCCTTCACCACCTGTTTTAATTTTACCATACACTAAACACCATTACTTTTTGCCATCAATTGCACCAGCTAACTATCTCTACAGGTGGCTAAAGTGTGACTTCAGTACCTGGCTGAAGGTGTAAGACTAGAGCAGGAGGAGATGCGGTGACTGAGGCGAGCACTGCTGCACAGGCACCCACAGCCTGCAGCCCCTGCTGCACCTGCTCTAGGCACCTCCTGCTCCATCAGCCACCAGACACATGAGGTACCCCAGGAGCAAAGGGGATCAGTTCCCAGACTCATCACAGGCTTTTACTGTTCAGAATAAGCTCTGTCTTTCTCCCCTGTTTTTCAAGTTTGTCTTCTCACTCAGAGGTGAGGCAGAAAGGCTTGCCTGGCTGCCATGGGAGCAATGCCTTAGATGCTGGAAAAACAAGCCAAAAGCTGTGTGGCTCTTTCAGGGTGATAATTTTTATTGTTACCTTTTATTGAGCTCCATTTTGCTAATCAATACTGGAAGTTCATAAATTGGATCTAGGAAGGAAAAAAGGGTTTTTTGCTAAAAAGTATTTTTTCTATCTTATGACTGCAGGAATGATAAGAAAAAGGAAGCTAAGTGGAGGCATTTAAATAAATGCAGTTACTCTACTCATGACCTTTCCTTTTGAAGTCACTGCAAATGTCAGTCACAGCTATGATGAAACATTAGGCCTTTTGATTTTATCACTGGAGCAATGAGACTTTTGCCACGTGTTCCAGCAGGGCAGAGACAAACTATCTTATTTTTTAGTTTTCTATTTACAACAGGGACAGTTTTCAAAAAGCTGCAGTGATCTTGTGCTCTGGCACACACCAGGCTGCACTGAGTCCCTCTGCGTGTTATATCTCAGCCCCCCCCTACCTCTGCCCAGGACCAGCATCTCAGTGTTGCTCCCTTGCATCTGTTTGCAGCTGTTTGGTTCAAACCCATTGGGTGGGCATCTCCTCAGATGGCTTTCCACAGATAATACATGTGTCTGGAATTATGAAAGAGTCATACAAAATCACTACATTGTAAGTTGTACAAATTAACATTTTGCGTAATGCTTTTCTTCCCCCTCTCTTCTTTCAAGTCCTATTTTCGAAGAAGACACGCCCTCTGTTATGGAGATAGAAATGGAAGAGCTTGATAAATGGATGAACAGCATGAACAAAAATGGTACACGGTAACCCCTCTACTCCATTCTCCCTCTCTTGCTAGCTGACGTAGATCCCACATGTAGAAAATCAATGTAAGGTGTTTTGTATGCATGTCACTGCTTTTCCTACAACATTTTAGTTCTGATCTTGGCTCCCTCCTACTAAAATAACTGCACAAATGTCAGGGGTAGAATTTTTCAGAGGAGTATTTTAGTTTGTGTGGGAGTTTATTTTTAACATGTGGTGGAATCTCATAAATGTTTTCAGTTTCCAGTAGACATTTCTATTAAACACACATATAGCTGTGAGGGGTATTTATATTTTTAAATACACATTTTTAATGCTAAATATTAATTTCTATGAAGCATCTAATCCTTTCAGTCTTCAGAATTTCTACAGTTTTGTGCTCCACATTGTGTTATTGTAGGAGAAATCCGCATTTGTTTGTAGCTCAGACCACCATTTACTTAAAGCTGCTGTCAGGAACTTATGAATACATCCTTCCCCTCTCTTGCAAGTCTATCAGCCCATGGAGCAATTAGAATCTTCAGTAACTACCAGCAGCAGCATCTTCAGCTCCCTTCTCAGTTCCCTCTAAGTATCTTGCGCTTTCCCCCTCATTTTCCTCCCGACTGTAATCTCCCAGTCAAAATCCTTAAGGGCCCTGCATTCTCCTCAAAAAATGCGGGTCTTTGGTAAGGCGTGAATTAACCGAGGCCTGATTTTGAACCTCGAACAGCTTTTCACTGGCTAGGAAATGCTGAAACACTGATATTTTTTTCATTCCTGGTCCCTTGCCTTATATCCAAATGGCTCATTTGCCTGACCTACGAGGGATGCTTTGTTTTTCAGGACATAAAACTCTTTGGAGCATTTCTTTGCGTTAGCACAGCGCTCCACGTGATGGGGTTTTGACCTTTGAGGTCTGTAAGCTCCAGTGGAAAACATGTGCTAAGTAGCAATAGTGAAAGAGACACATTAAGTGTACTACACAGGACAATAGTGTTGTAAAATATTTTTAAAAATTTTGTGGAGAGAAGGGAACAAATATTTCACATACTTGTGTGTGTGTGTGCTAGTGTTTCCTAAACTCCAGCCCCAAATTCCCAGCTCTACTATAAAGCATAGGTGCAACTATAAGCAATGGAAGATTAACAAACAACCCTACCCATGGGGAAGCAGTTGTCCCTACTTTGTAGGGAAGCAGTTGTCAAAAATAGTTAATTTGTATAGGTGTACATAAATAACTGAAATATATGTAATAAAGAAATTCTGGCAACACTTATCAAAAGGAAGGAGGATTTAAAATGTGTAACATTTATGCTATGGGGTCTGTGCAGATAAAACAGTGCAGAAGTGTATCCACAGATCTACATTTTAGAGAGACTGCATGATAAAAATTGATGCTTTTTTGAAATACATGTAGAAGAATTGCCAAGAGTAACTACGGTCTTGTTTCTTATCCTTTTTCAGCTGACTGTGAATGTTTGCCTACTGTAAGAGAAGAAGAAAAAGAATCAATTGCCAACCCAAGGTACTTTAATTCATTATATTATTTGAAGAAATACAGTCAATGTCACTCTAAAATAATCAATTTTTTGTATGTAATTACAGAGTGATTCTTTGGTCTATATAAATTTTAAAGTTTTTATATATAGGGACTTTGACTTCAACTTAAACAAAAGGCTTGACACTCTTATTTCTAAAAAGGTCTCTGCCAGTAAATTGCAACCCTAAAGAATCTTGCAGTTGTAGACTGGTGCAAGACAGACAACACTTGCTGATCAGACTTTAATCACAGTTTCCCAAGGTGTTAATACAAGCATTCGGCATAGCTTCCTTGGCACTCTTCACCAGTGCAGGCACCCAGTTCCCCTCTGCCGTCTGGTGCCTATAGGTCCCTGAGAACTACTGCCAGATGTTTTGGCTGGAGCTGTGACTTGCCAGACAGGGACTTGTCTGATCCCAGAGAAACCTAAAGGACCTTCCCGGTGCCCTGGTGCAGCACTCCCCCCAAGCTGGCACTAGCTCATAGTACAAGCAGAGATCCCAGAGGGATGCAAAACCGCAATCCTGACAGCTTGTAAACTTAAAATCTTCCTGGCTGGTTTCCTCAGTATTTTGGCCAGAAATCCTAACCCCCTCTCAAACTCCCATTTTCTCTAATTAAAAATTCTATCTCCAGCTGGAAACAAGAGGCTGCACATTGCCCTTACCCGCACCCTTGTGTTGCAGCTGCGTTTTGGGTAGTGGGTAAAGCAGCTCCTCTGTGCCAGGTTATGATAACAAACAAGTAAGCTATCCTATGTACCAAGAAAATCCCCGGTGCAGTGGAAGCAGTGATGCAATCAGGCAAGGCCAGGAGCAGGGACAGGTGGCAGGAAGGGGACCTGGGTCTTCTGCTTCCCATGGCACCAGATAATTCAGATGAATATGTCTCTCTGGCAGAACTGCACCTCCCACTGTGGACTCTCATAATATCCTAGTCCTCTTTCCTGAGTTTTCTTGCTCAGGAATGAAATAGCAGGGATGTTAAATCACCACCGCTGGAGAGTTTGCAACTCAGTTGCTCCAAAGCTGCAGTTTCGGGGGACCTTTTGGATGGGGCTTGTCCAGTGCAGCCATTTGTATTTAAAAGGTTTCTGCCTACACCTATTGCAAGAGAAATCATCATTGTGCTGTGAGGTTTTTGCTTTAGTTTAGTTTTGTTTAAAAAAAATACTTAGATCCTAGGTTCCAAATGCAAGCAAGCACATTAATTTTACTCTGAGCAGCTGGAAAAGATCCTGGATTTTCTAGCCATCTGTGTCTTCCCTTCCTGCCTCTAAACGGTAACTCAGAGGGGGAAAATTGTTAAGGAGAGGCAGCTGCACAGTGGTTCTCTAAAAGCAGATTTGCTGAGCATTCCACTGACTATAGCAGGGAGTATAGGACAAAGCATGCTTGAGTCACATGCTAACACCAGCAAACGTCAGTCATACTCTAAAAGGCTTTTTAGGCACACCAACCTTAGCGTTAAGTTTACTTTCCAAAACTTAAACAATTCATTTTCAGAAAAAAAATCATCATGACATACCAGCTTGAGCTGACATTTTAAATATCATCCTTGCTAAAGTGCTTTTGTACTGGATTTGCATTAACCCCATCAGAATGAGGTGTTTTTGCTCTTGGCTGTCAAAAGGCATCTTTAGGCTACACCTTACCTCAAGTTCTTCAACCTGTCAAACAGAGTTATTGCCACTTCAGAATAATATAGTGAGGCTTAAGCCTTGATGCAGAAAAGCAACCCTGTTCAGACAAATATGCTTCAGTCAGAGCAAAGGCACACACGCCATTTAAGTATATTTTCTTGTGACTGGTACCTTAGAATCAGACTATAGAGAAATTGTGGAAAGGCAAAGAAATGCAAATAAAAATAGGAAATTTATCTCTAAAACATTCAGAGCTGCTCAGACAAAGGATATTAGTTGAATACAAAGTGTGAGATTATTAGATTCAATTTCAGATTCTGAAAGACTGCTTTGTTTGGGCAAAATTCTTCTCAAATTATGGTAATTTCTCTTTTAGATTTTATTGACGATATTTCAGTATGGGAAACATCTCAAGGCCTCACTGAACAGAGATGGCTATGTTATTTCTGTGCTTCATAAAGATGCTGGGGGGAAATTCATCAAGACCAAAATGTTTTGAACTATGAATGATTGTGATATAATTTTGAAACTATATGAGACTAACCATTTCAGTAATGACATTTTGATGTTTTCAGAATGAAAGTTGTTCCAAAACTATCTTTCAGAATAAGTGACTTTTTAATATAAAAGTTTTTAAAAGTTTAAAGAACAGAACCCCATGGTGGTAAAATATTTCTAAGTTGAGTGTTTCCCTTAAGTCTGATCTAATTCTGCAAATTTCGTTACACATGAAATTTCAAAATATGCTTTATTTCAATGAGAAAATGTATCTGAAGTGGTGGGATTTCTGGGTAAACAATGAAAAAAACCTGATTTCTGTTTATTCCTGCAATTGAACCCTATCAGACCAATATCTGCTGGTTTTCCTGATAAACGCTTAGATGAATAAATAATGTTAGAAAGAGAACTACATACAGATAAATAGATGTCTTCAGCAGCTATTTTGAGCAAGTAAAGTGAAAGACTATGAAGTAAAATGAAACAAAGCTATTATTATAACAAAATTTGTAATCAGGAGCATCAAGGCTGCATATTTGTGCACAGGAGGCAATATATGACAGTCCGGGCTCCTTGGTAGGTGGAGGTCACCTACTTTTGCATGTAAGCTAATTTACAAATATATGTATACATTTTCAAAAATTGTATACCTTTTTCGAAATATATATTTGAAATAATATGTCTCGGCTTTGAAACCTAGTGCTAAAATCCTGATTGTGCCTGAGCACAGAAACATCCCCAGCCTCCTTGGGGCCATGGCTCCCATCCTGTCCATGCAGGAGGGAGCAGGCAGTGGAAGCAGGGCCAGCAGGCAAGGGCTGATTCTCCTGTGGTGCACAAGAGGGTACAAAACCAATCTCTACTCCAGGGACCTTTACTTCCCCCAGCAAAATCAGCACAGCCTGTCCCCGTCACAGCATGGGTTGCTGTAGGATGTGGAGTACAAGCAATCCCCTTACGCTTTATCACACCTCCTGAGAGATTTGGTTTGCCTTGGGTGCTGCTGGGCACCCTCCTAGTCTTTCTGTCTGAAAAGGGGGAGTCTTTCTTATGGAGAGATGTTCTGGGTGGGTAATAAGTTAGTACAGAAAGAAGTACTGCCTTCCCAGGATGTGCCTCAGTTTGACAAGGGACTTAAAAAAACATGTAAAATATTATGAGTGGCTCTTTAACTTCAAAAGTGGTTTAAAACCCTGCTGTTAATGAAATCCAGTCAGCCAGTAAAAGATGTCTCATTTTTAATGTTGGCATGAACATAATTAAGAACATTATTAAGAAAGAGCTAGGGAACAAACTAGCTGGGCAGAAACCAGTGGGACAAAGAGAAAATGCACCTGTTACGAGGTCAGATGTAATACAAAAATTCTATTTATAGAAAGTTATCCTCACCTGTGGAAAGAGGCCTCGGAGCAGGAGACAGGCTGTGCTGGGCAGCCACTAACCATCAGAGAAATCAGAGCAGCCCTTGCTGCCAGCATCCAACACTGCAGATGGAGTCTGTTCATCTGTTGCATGACTGACAGATTTATTTTCTGGTAACACCTTCACGTGGACTCCAGAGATACTTTTTCATATTATTTCCTGCTGAGACAACTAACCCAACAGCATGACACCGGTGTGTTTTTTTCTTTCCTGTGTGTTCACAGTGATGGTGAATCATGAAGTCAGAACAGCAAAGAACTGGATAAAGGGAAGCAGCACACAAGCTAACCATCCCCCAGATATTGGAAGAACTGGATTTAAATATAATTCACCTCAAAAGGCCAGATAAGCAAATGCTTTGGTTGTGTCCTGCTATATATGGTCTTCAGAAAGGAAACATCACCAAGGGGAAGGAAAAAAAAAGAAAAGAAAAAAAGAAAAGCACAGTAGCAAGATTAGAGACTGATTCAAATTCTTTCTGCAATTACATTCCTCACAAATCAAGAGAAACCTCTTCTCCCCCCCCCAAGTTCTCAAAATAGTTCATGATTCTATCTCATTCTGCAGTTTTGTATTGTGCAGCACTTAAAACCACTTCTGTTCAAAGTTCAGCGGGTTTCTTTGTTTTGTTTTTCGAGGGTGTTTGTTTCCATGTCCATAATTCTGGACAGCCCTGGCTTTGTGGATGTGAAGCTCATGCCTATGCAATGTTTATTTTTCAATTTGCTTTTTCTGAATGGTGCACTGATTTGCACAGAGCATCTGCTGGGGAGGTACCAGGCTAGGACTGACAGACCACCTCTGAGGACAGAGAGAGAGCAGCTGAGAAGCCTCTCAAAGGAATAGCCAGAAGTGACTGCAGCCTGGCAAGGGCATGGACTCTGTCTGTAGTGTATTTTTTGGTTTTCAAATTAAAGGCTTCGGAGAAGTGAAAACTATTATTTTGAGATTGCCTTTCAGTTCATTATCTCCATAGATGAGCGCCCTGGGCTAGCTCTCTCCATGTAAGTCTCCTCCCTGCCGAGGGCTGTTCTCTAACCACCTACTTCAGGAATATTCAACTTGAAAACATTTTTTTTTTTAAATAAGTGAGCTTGAAAAATTGAACAGTTCAGTACTCACACCAAACATAGGTTTAGATGAGTATGTGTTATGCGTGACTACTCCGTCATTTTCTGCTGCTTCTGTTGTTGAATATTGAGCTTGCAATATTTGAAAGACATGGACTTCTAAGTGTGCCTGGTCACCTTTAATTACACTGAAAAAAAATCAGACTCCTGGGATACCTCAGGGTGGGAATATAAATGTTACAACTGTGTCCATTGATTTTCTATAGCAAGTCTCTTAGGGATGTAGTTTAAATATGTAACACACGTAAAAGCGGATTCATGTCCGTGCAAAGCTTCCTTTGCCTTATTTAAAAAAGCAAATTCACATCCTACCATATCTTATATCCTACCCTATCATATCCTACCTATCCTCATCTACTATTTAAATATAGAGTGCCTTCCCACTCAATACATGTTTAATATGATCAATTTTAGTTTGCCCGCGAATAACTCACTAATAAGTTATCATGCATATCTTGGTTAAAGAGAGAAAACAAATGCCCCAAGCCTCTGGGATGGCTTCTAAGTGTCACTAACAGCTGACAAATACAGAGGATGGTTCACCTTTGTGAATAATAAAGGATGTGTCACAATATAGAAGGAAAGAATGTTTACAGCTAACAACATTCATTCATTATTGAATATGACTTGATCAGTAATTTCCTCAAAGAATAAAAGACTTCATCATTGTCCAAAACTATTTATTACAAATATTGGATTTAATTGATGAGTAATGGTAAATAGATTTTCCCTGCTTGGATGGTTTTTAACTTTGAAAAAAGTGTTTTAAGCTCAGTCAACTTTTTTCTTTTACAAACATTTCCACTATTTCCTGACAACAAACCCATTCTGTAGAATATTGGTTTAAAATAATGCAGGGGGAAAAAAAGTAGAAGATTGAAATTCAGAAAATTTTAAAAAACAGTAGTAGATATTTTTCAGTAGCAGCTTTGTTACCAACTTCTTTCCAACAGAAAAATATGTTATGCTCAGCCTTCCTACAGTCTGCAAAGCAGTAACCTGAGGATGCCCAAAACAGAGAACATTTCTTTAATGGTACAAGATAAAAAGATGTATTTTGGGACCATTACGAGCTGTGTGGTTGGAGGGCAATCAGTGGGGACCCAGCAGTTCCCCAGTGTCCACCTGTGACTCTCACCCTACCTTGCTCCAGCCCACACAGCCCCATGTCCAGCATCCACCACCTTCTCCCTGAAGAGAGCTGATGCACAGCTGGGACAAAAAGGAGTCTTTGCTTTTGTATTTTATTTTTTTTTGCTTTTGAAAATTAACCAACGCCCAAAGGTGACATTGTTTGGTATAACTCAGTTCTGACACGATGATGATCCATCTTCCTGTCCTAGCCACACATCAATGACAGCACAATGCACTACCTCACTCTGCTGTGGCATTTGATAAGAGCCTGTGTTGTGCATGTTGATGGTTTGGGATTAATGTTAATTCTAGGTGGTTGTTCTGCCAGATAAAATGCTGCACAATTCCAAGTCAGTTTCTCAGAGATTTAGTTTCACTTATATATTTTATTTTTTAAGTTTACCTTGAGTGAATTATATTCTGTAAACTCATTGATTAATTCTTATTCTGGTGTTCATGATTAATCAATCTCTATATCAAACTTTAAAATAAATTTTTCCCAGAACTTATGTCTCAGTTAGAGCTTTATGATTACCCAGGGTATGTCATTTACCCTCTCTAAAATCTGACATGCTAGGGAATTTATTTTCTTCTTCAGGTACTTTCTAGGCATTTAAAAATACAAAACAATGCTTTGGGCAGTTCCTTGGCCAAGTAGTTTGCATTTCAGTATAGTTATGGATAATGTTAACAGATTGCCTCCATACCAGACAAATATGATTTTTAGTATTTCTATTTTCCCTAAATGTTTTTACATCGTTGTTCTTCTTCCCCAGCCTTTAACTATGGAGGGGGTCATTCATTCATCTGATACCTCAGCCTGGCTCTGCACTGCCCTGTTTCACCCCACTGGTCTCTTTTTTGATCGTGGTTTTCACATTGGCTTCTGCATTTGCCACGGCCATTGCCCAGCACCCACTCGCTCCGGTTACTTTCTGCAGACAACGGGTTCATGGGCTCAGCTTCGGCCCGGGTGCTACCTTGGCCCCTCTCTTCCCTGATCCCATTCGGTATTTCTCTCTTCTGCTTGCCTGTGAGCCCCTTGCACTCCTGTTTGTTTTACACTTGTCATCAGTTCCTGGTCATCTCCTTTTGCACCCTTTTGTCCCAGTATTTTAATCTTGTAGGTGAACTGAATTGCAGGGAATTTAGATAACTTCTCTCCTACATTAGTAAACCAAAACATTCTAATATTCCAGTTCATGAATATTAACTTGACATCTTTGGTTGAGGCACCCTAATTTTCCCTAAATGATGCACATAGTCAGGTCCTCTAACCCACAAAACAAAAAGAAGGACAACCGGTCAGCAGATAAGATATCAGCAGGTTTCAAAAATTATTTTATTATCGCTAAATTTATTTAGGCCTCCGCTGTAATGTCCTCATCGTCAGCCTGATCTGAGCCAACCCATCCTCTTGCAACATCTACTGGTAACTTCTAACTCAAATTATCATTCCTCAGTAGAAATTAGGAAAACGCGTGCAAACAGAAAATCTCTTCCACTGTATATTGTTCTACAATGTTTAACAAATGTGATGATCCCTAAGGAGCTGTTACCTCTTCTTCCATTTTCCTCAATTATTTCAGTACTTATCCAGCACTTCAAGGCAATTTGACATCTAATTTACAGCGTGAGGCCTTTTTGTTCTGCAGAAGGCGGAAAAGCTACAGATCCAAAGGAGGATTTTTTTGAGAAATACATGGATAATAAGAAGGGTAATTAGGCAACATCTCTCCTACATATGTTAAAAATCAGTATCTTAACAAAATAGAAATAACTCCTCCATAATATTACAAACATAAGGTTACTGACATTGCCAGCAGTTAATTAATTCCATAAGAGTCCTGGACTTGTAAAGAACATAACCCTAACAGTAACCTCAGCAAAAAGGAACATTCTTTTTAGTTTCTATGCAGTCATAAGTTATAGATTCATAGATAACTCTTGCTGTGAGATTAAAAAAATATTTTTTTGTAATGCTAAACCCATTGGAAGGCTATAAAATCAACTTTGGTTAACTTTCTGATATGAAATTACTGTATATTCAACTATTTTATCAAATAGCTGTTCCAAATTATTTTGTAATGTAAATATTTGAAAGTCACAATATTACTTAATTGTATATAAGAGTTTGAGATTTTAAAGAACTTGTTCTAATAAAGGTTTATAGAGTTTTTAGTGTTCTCTTTTAGGTTCTCTTTTTCCCATAACCCTGCTAATGCACTCAAGTCAATGGGTGCTAATTACTTGTTATTGATGTCAAGATTACTCTGGCCTTAGAAGACCTACACAGCTGTATGTGGTACATAGATATCTTACTGTCATCAGTTCTCCAAAATTCAGGCAAAAAAAGCCTAAAGGCTAGTGCACTAGTCTTTTCAAATTACAGAAGTGCTTTGAAATTCATTTTACCTAAATGTAAAAAAAAAAAAAAAAAAAAAAAAAAAAAAAAAAAAAAAAAAAAAAAAAAAAAAAAAAAAAAAAAAAAAAAAAAAAAGCTGCTTTATATTTCATTATGTTTTTGTTCGGGAGTTTCAGATTGTCTTTATCAATAGACCAATTCTGACTCCACAGAAACTGATGAATACCCCCATGATTTGTCCTTGGGTGATTGTTGCCATCTTTCTTTAACGATCAATCATTTCTCAGGTTATGAGTCTCCAGATTGATAGAGCTGCTAAAATAATTGTCAGTGGATTTAAGGGGAAAGGAAGAAAAAAAAAAAGATGAAAAGGAGACAAGTATTTCCAGATAGAGATTTAGAAAAGATTAATAAAGAAGAGCATTACTTTCATCCATTTTTGCAACAGATAGTTTCATTAGAGAGGATTATAATGGCCTGGGGGTAACCAGAAAGCTCAAGTCAGTTTTTATTCTATTTGATGTTTTTAGTGTTCAAACAACCTCAATTTGAAAGCATCATAGCAGTGACCAGGCAGAAACGAGTTACCTGTCTCTCCTAAACATCACATCAGCAAGACACTTTTCTAAGGTACAGACTTGAAAATCTGCATTTTGGCACAATGCTTGTCTAGTTCTCAAGGGAGGTGCAAAAGAGGACTTGACTACAGAGCCCAAGAGAGTATTTTTACACCTTTGGGAGTACCACAGAGTTACTGCCCTATCTCCAGACACTTGCTCTTATCTCACTCTGCCCCTGTTAGTACCATTGTGCTGCCCCACAGATCAGGGGCTCCTCAAATGTGCAATAAAAGAAGGCTGGAAGGGGTCATGGGGAACTGCTTAGGCAAAGGAAGACAAGATGAGAGGTGAGCAAAGAACATATGCTGCACCAAAATTATTAGCAACATACATGGAAATGCATCCTGAGCACTTAGTATTTGCTTAGGCTTTAAGAATGGTTTAACTCATACTTCCTGTGAATATCAGTGACAAGAAGTAGTATCAGCATGGTCTGACATGACAGCAAAGCGCAGCACTGGTTACGACTCCCATGCACTTCCAATGAGGTTGTTTCAGGTCTGGTTTCGTACTGGATCAGTTCTCTGCCCTGATTTTGGGTGGGATCCCACAATCTGAGGACTGGGAGTGCTGCTCTGCTACTGCACAACCTCCAAGCACGCAAGCAGATACTGCAGAGGGGGGCACAGGGGGAACAGGCAATATCACCACTCCCCTCCACAATGCAAAACAGAGCCCTGGGGAAGTTG